GGTGTTCTGTGCACCGTGCAGAACTTGGACATTAGGTTTAACCTCGGTCAACAACAGTCACCCGTAGTGATCATTTGTGGTTGCTGTGGTTTGTGGTGCAGTTACATTGTGTTGCTTTACACTGAGGAGTGAAAATGAATTAGTTAATATTAGCCACAATTGCCGTGAACCCCCCCCCCTCTCTCCCTCCGGCAATATGGATCCAACATAACAGGAAACTGAGTATAGTTTTAATACAAGTCAGGAAAAGATGGGTTTAAAAGTCAGTGAGTTTTGTGTGATTGATCTCTTCACTCAAGGCACCTCAAACCTGCAAACACTAATATTAATTACAGAAAGGAATTCAGACAATTAAAAACATTAGGATGTGTTGATTGCTCATGAAGTGAATTAAAAGCATGGATCCCCGCTCACACCGGTGTTCCTCTGTGGAAGGCGGGCTGTGCAGCAGCAGCCCGGCTGTTTTGTAACCAGGTCTGTCATTACGCAAGAGATCGTAGTGAATTCCCTGTCTGATACCCAGCTGACCGCTGTCATGTGAGTGTTTAAGGGAAGACACACACACACAAACATTGACTCCAGCCACTTCATTTACTTATTTATCTAGTAATGGCTCTCCAAAGAAAAGCCAAGATAGGATTCTTCACCGAAGTCCAATAAGTCTTTTTATGGTTTTGTTTAGAGCTTTCATCTTCTGCTCAGGGTATTTGACTACTTTCTTCAGCCAACGCAAGTAAGGATTGATGGATAGCGATAACAATTGTAGGTCAAGGAGGTACATACCTGGTATTTACCATTATAAATACATGTGCATGTGACATGAAAGCTCCTTTTGATCTTTTCTTTAGTGCATCCCACAGAAAGAAGATGGAGTGGGACCGTGTACATTACTCGGTACATTCCATATTTCAAAAACCCAAATATAGATATTTTTTATAATTTAATATTTCTTTTTCTTTTTTTGGGCTCCAGGCCGGGCGCTCCAGGTGGGGCGACGCCCGGTTGCCCTCCATTGGCTTGCCGCCACTGGGAGAAGTATGCCAAGCGGCACTGAGCCCCCACATACAAATCAAAGTAACTAAATAGTCATGTGACGCAGCGGCTCGGTCTTCCTCCCGTTCTCCCCGATGCTTTTGAGTCCCCGGCTGTCTGTCTGCGTGAAAGACGACTGCAATGGAGTAGCATTTCTTTTTAATTCATGCACTTCATTAGTAAATCTAAAAAAAACCCAATTGATCTAAATGTGGCTCGCAAACATTACACTCGTCGCCAAACAAGAAAAAATAGGTGGAAATTAATAACAGTTAATTTCATTTAATTTTTTCAGTATTCCAACGTTCAAACTGCTGGTGTGAACTGATCCTCGTTCAACGATGCGTCTTGAACGCATTAATGGCGTCCCCTGAGTCCCACAGGCCGCCTCACTCAGACACGCTGTATTTCCCCTTAAGGGCATTTGTCTGTTTTTTAAAGCGGAATGAGGAGCAGTTGCTGCATAGTCTTGATCACATAATGTCTAATTGTAACACATTTAATGCGAGTGCTCCACAATGTCCGATAACGCGGCTGGATCAATGGAGCTTTGGAAACAGTAGTAATAGTAGTATTCTTAATAGTCGCTATCGTCATGGTGTATCTCCAGTTGTGTGTGGAAGCGTAGCTGCTGTTGGTCAGGCGGGCATCTCTTCCTCTGGGTTCTGTCTGGAATGTGTTTACTAGTTCTGCATTGTGTGTGTGTGTGTGAGAAAGACTCTCTCACACACACACACACACAGGAGCTTTCGTGTGCAAAGCCGGATGCATTACAGAGCGGACGCCTGCGCCGCGCCAAGATGATTCTGTGTGGTGGGACACGGCGCTGATTCCTCCTGCAGCGTGCGCCGTGCATCCAGGGAACCTGAATAAGCCCTGACGCCGAGGGCTGGGGGGGGGGGGGGGTGGAGGTGGACGTGCAGCTGAGGCATTGGAAACCAGCGTATCCGGTTACAGGACCTTAACATCACTGCAGAGTTCCGTCCACACGGCACTGCACAGCGTGCACACACACACACAACCAGCTCCTAGAGTAGCGTCCTGTGTATGATTTTAGATTTATACTTTTCATTCATAAAAGCATATGGAAACTCCCTGCTTGTTGTTAACGGTCTCAGCTATTCGTGCATTGATTTAGAGTTCTGGTGTCTGTTGGACGTTTCTGAAGGTGGTTTTAAGGGTACGTATGATTTGTTTGCACACGTCTTTTGAGATCGTACCAACATTATTCTAATTTCAATTACATAATTACATCATATTGGACTTCCTCTTCAATATAAAATCAATGACTTGACGAAATATCTCCTGTGAGCTTCCGTCCAAAAATGTCTGACTTTCAAAACTGTAGGTTGGGTGACTTCTCGTCACGGCTGGTTGCCCCCCTGCTCAGAGCGTGAGCTCTATCTATCTCAGGGGAAACCTTTTGGGGGAAAGAAAGTGGCTTTGAGGCGGCTGTTGGACGGTTGTGTTGCCGTGACCTTGAGCGGAGACTGTGCCTCCATTTTGGAGCGCGTTCCTCCTCCCGTGCTCCACTTTATCTGCGCCGCTCATTTGTCTGCTTCTCTTGCTCCTCTGGAGCGTTCTCCATATCTACACATGGCTCACGGGGTGCAGGGTCTTCTGGGCCTGTGAACTTTGACAAGTCAGCGGAAGGAGGATGGGAGGGAGGGGGGGTAAAGAGTGGAAGAGGAAGAGGAAGAGGAGGAGGAGGAGGAGGAGGAAAAGCAAGAAGAGGATAATGAAGTGGAATGTAAGGGGTGGGGCACCTCTGGTATGTCGTGTGTGTGTGTGTGTGTGTGTGTGTGTGTGTGTGTGTGTGTGTGTGTGTGTGTGTGTGTGTGTGTGTGTGTGTGTGTGTGTGTAAACACCTCGCCACGAGTCAGTGAGTCAGACATGCGCAGCTGCTTCAGCCCTCAATCACACACGCAATCTGCTTTGAAACTGTTGCTCTCTCTCTCTCTCTCTCTCTCTCTCTCTCTCTCTCTCTCTCTCTCTCTCTCTCTCTCTCTCTCTCTCTCTCGCTGTGTGACTGTGACACAACCTAAAATAAACGCAGTTTTTTTTGAGTCCACGTGGGACTCAAAGGGTTCATCATATTAGCCGAGTTGTTCCCCGAAGGCCCCCGTGTTAATAACACAAAATGTACAAAACTCATTTTTCTCCACGTTAAAGACAACGGACGGCTGGAACTGTATTAAGCTTTGAAGTTGGGCATAATTGAGGGCGTGGCCGCTTCCAGCGGCAGGCGGGTTGCGTCTCCGGTCGCCAGCCGCTCCCCCCCGTCCTCAACACCCACATCTCATGTTTTTAGTGTCTCCGCGGATGCAAACCTATTGTAGCTGGTATCAGGATGTCCTCATTGAGACATGCGCTCATGTCCTACAGCGTTCGCTCATCACTACGTTTGAATCTGTTTTTCCTCTTCGCTCCGACGCCAATCGATGCTTCAGCAGTGAGCTAATAAAATATTATTCGCCGTTTTGTCTCTCAACATCTGGCCTGTGACTGTTACCATGGGAATGACAACGTGACAGAAGTTGCAGTACTTTTGTTGTGACCTATGCAAAGAAAACAAGTTGTCAGAGATTATGCTTTTCTTTCACGTCCTTTAATATCAGTTGAAGGGGAACGAGGGACGCCAGCGGACCATCAGACGTGCATCATTTATGAGTCTGTCGGGGGTAACGAAGCGCTCATAGAAAACTCAGCAGCACTTTTGATAGACAGGTGGCGAGAAAGTTGCTCATTCCACTCCCACGTTTTTACAGACCGGTCTCACCTAGTCCTGTACTCCTCCTCCTCCTCCTCTTCCTTCCTGCCCCCCCGTCCTCTCCCCGATCTCATTCTTTGTCATCTCTCTGGGTGAATTCCCAGCTGACTCTGTTTGTCATGGCAACCAACCAGTCGTGGTGACTGGGCCTGCAGCACACACTTCCTCTGTGCGCGTGTGTGCGCGTGTGTGTGTGTGTGTGTGTGTGTGTGTGTGTGTGTGTGTGTGTGTGTGTGTGTGCGGCAACTGGCTGCATGAGCCTGTCAGCCTGGATTAGAGTCAAACCTACTGCAGCGATTCCTGTTTTTTTCTTTCTCCCTGTCCTCCCGTCTCTCCGCGGTCTTCGCTGCTTTTCTCTGTTGCACCAATAACCTCACCATCGGATAGTTCGATCGGACGCAGAGATCTGCTCGGCTGCTGGAACATGGACAGTATGTTGAGGGAATGCTCGGTTCCTTCAACGGCGCCCAGCTCTGATGAACAGGCGTCTCTGCCAGGAATAGAAACACATTTGTTACAGAGAGAGGAAAGTTACTTTTATGTAGCTACTGGATGTAATCGTACACTGTAGAGGCAGATAGCTCCCTGACGCGGGTCGAACATGTGCGCCGTCTGAAAGTGGTACAAGTAACAAAATGTGCTCTTCTAATGGGGGGGGGGGGGGGCTTAAAATGTGACCTATGATCATGCTGTACGGCGAGGGAATGCTGCTGTTACATAACGTGTGTGTGTGTGTGTGTGTGTGTGTGTGTGTGTGTGTGTGTGTGTGCGCGCTGGGCTACAGTGCCCAGCGCACACACACACTTTGTAGATGATCTTCAATGCATTTTTTGGTACATATCTATATATTTATCTATTTAGATTTACAAATCCCCTCATTGTAAGCTCATTGCATTTAAGCAGCTTTTTGAATCACCACGTTAAGCCGAAGAGCTTCAGTCTGCAAACTTCACCGGTGAGACGTGGCATGACATGATGATCCCACGCTGGGATCTGGTCCTGCTATTCGACGTGCAAATAAAAGAACATTTTTTGCAATGTGAGAACAGTATGTAACATTTCACCAATGTAGAAATACTAGAGCTCATAGTAATGATAACAGTGTTCAGAAGCGCATTATGAAGCTAACAATAAGCAGTGATAACTCGAGCTGTTCCTTGCCTCGCGTCATTGACGTCCCTCTGGTTCTGTCTTCCAGATATATGTTCGGTAAAGGTGCGAAGCGGAAGCTGGACGAGGATGAAGAGGGGCTGGAAGGCAAAACGCTGGAGGCGCCGGTGGCGGCGGGGCTGCTGGGCGCCGTGCCGGAGGGCCTGTCCAAGGTGTCGTACACCCTGCAGCGGCAGACCATCTTCAACATCTCCCTGATGAAGCTGTACAGCCAGCGGCCGCTCGGCGAGCCGCGCCTGGAGCGCCGCGTCCTCATCAACAACATGCTGCGCCGCATCCAGGACGAGCTCAAGCAGGAGGGCTCGCTGCGGCCGCTGCTGCTGCCGCCCTCGCCGCCGCCCGACGACCCCATGGACGAGGGTTTCCGCGAGGCCCCGCCCTCCTTCGGCGGCCTGTCCGCCGCGGCGCAGCCGTCCCAACCGTCGGCGCTGCTGATGCCGGCGGTCGTCCCGCCGCCTTCCCCCCACCCTATGGCGCCCCAGGCCTGCCCCGCCCCTCTGGAATCCCGCCCCGCCCCTCTGGAATCCTGCCTGACTCCCGCCTCTTTGCTGGAGGAGGACGGCGGGGATTCGGCCTTTTGTAGTCCATCCCCGCCCACTCCTCCTCTGTCGCCTGCCTCGGCGCTGCCCCCGCCGTTACCTTCGGCCCCCAAGGGCCCGGCGCCGGCCTCGTCCAGCGGCGACCCCCCCCCCGTTCTGAGTGACATGGAGTTGGATCCTCCCACAGCCATAACAAGGACAGCAGCAGCTAATACTAGGACCGTGACTACCTCCCCGGCTCTCACGCCACTCACCCAGCCCCCCCACCTGCAGCCCGCGGGCCCCCTGCGAGACAGCAGGACCACGGGTGCTAAACCAGAGGCAGCTGGCGTCTTGCTAGCGGAAGCCCGCTGCGGCGAGCTCCGGCCACTGGACGCTCCTCCCCCCGCTGGCTTAGGAGACATTTCCCCCACCTCTCCCTCGCCCTCCTCCCCCTCGGGGTTTCTCTCAGACTTGGCGCTGGACGACGTCCTGTTCGCCGACATCGACACGTCCATGTATGACTTTGACCCCTGCACGACAGCGGGGGCCGTGGGCGCGGCGGCGGGCGGGGGCCTCACCAAGCTGCCGCCCATGGTGACGGCGGACGACCTCCTCAAGTCTCTGGCGTCGCCGTACAGCGGCCCCGCCCCCCAGGTCTCAGCCAATCAGCCTTTCAAAATCGATCTGACGGAACTAGACCACATCATGGAGGTGCTGGTGGGATCGTGACTGGCGGACACCAGAAACACACAAACTATTTAACACCAGGCGGACTGGCGATGAACTTTTGGGCGTCTTTCCTGGTCGTTTTCTTTATTTCCTTTTTTTTTTTTACTCTCTTTGAAGGTCGATAATTGTAAACATCGATGGTGATGTCAATTAGTACTACTATGACAACTACTACTACACAACACTGTGCACTGTGCTCGCCTTTCCAAATATGGAAATGAAGTAACTGGGAAACAAAGACACACGCACAGGTTTCTATTCCTATACTTGTGAGGACCTTCTTTTGGCTCTAATTGCCTCATTCTGATTTTAAACTGAGTTTTAAACTTTTACCTGAACCGAAGCCTTAACCCTGTAAATAGAAACCTATGAGGACCGGCAGATTGTCCTAACTTTGGGGTATTTTTGCAATCATTCTATTGCTGTGAGGACAGTTACCCCTCACACGTATAGTAATACAACTGAACACACACAAAACACACTGAATTCATGGCTTTTTAGCAGATGAGTGCCTTTCAAAATGACCACTTCTTCAATTCCTGTTTTTACGGTATTTTCTTTTCACATTTATTTTCTCGCGTTTTTTTATTTATTGTATTGCGTTCAAACTATTAAGTAAGGTAATTTCTGATGATCTTTATCTAATTATAGATGCTATGTTTTTATGTGTAAAGCGAGCATCAAACAAGGTATTTAACGAGAAACACGCCGTTTTGCTGCATCACATTTTAGCTTTGCTTTCTAACCGTGTTTAGGGAACGTCTCTAAAGCCCCAAACGACGCCACGATGAGGACACGTTGTTCAGCCTGTACACCTCACGTCTATGAACTCAGTACACTTTTTTGTTTGTTTTACATGAGCCCAAACTGCGCACTAGTCGGCACGCGCCAGTAACCGTAGAAATTCAAATGAGCTCCGCCCACAGGAGAGCTCGTTGTGTTTACATTGGGAGCGGCGAGTCGAGCCGCCGCCGCCACAACCACCAACAACTCTTCAGGCTCAAGTCAACTGTTGCACGTCACTTCTCAGACAAAACAAAATTTTCTCTTTGGGTTTTGGCATGAGTGGCAGACAAACTACTGCTCAGCATGCAGTACTACACAAAACACACACACACACGCAGTGTGTTTACTCATTTGGCGATAGGATGTCAGTGTTGCTCCTGAACAGTTGTTGGGTGTGGATTTTCTTTTTTACAACACAAACCACAACGCTATCGTGATACCTCGACGATGCAGAAGACCCGCCTTTGTCTCATAACGACAAACCGGTTTATGCCGCAAAAAGACATGTTTTGTTTGTTTTTGCCAGCAGATCACACACACACACACACACACACGTGCACACACACAGTTTTAAAGACAACAGAACTACTCATTAATCCTTCCTTTTATATGGTATGCATTGAAGTTAGAAATAATCCTGTTTACACAAATGTCCCTTTACCTTTTTAAAAGCACGTTACTGTTCTTTTTCACAATTTGTTATATAAACGTCTCCATTCGACACATGACTTTTAACGTTAAAAAAGGGGATCCAACCTGCCGGCGTGGAGGCGAAAGGATCCACAGCTCAGCGTTTGTACTATTGTCACATAATCTAGCCACAACTTGCACACGGCCCACGCAGGAAGACCTCCCGTCTCCTCCGTGCACGCAGCGGCCGCACTGGTTACAGGCGTCTTCGGGGTGCAGAGACGCGACGTGCGTTTGGGGGCGATGCACCTGAAATGCCTTTCGGTGCATCCGCGAATACGACGCAGTCGGGTTACAACTCAAAGTTTAAAGGAACAATCCACCCTGGGGTACTTTAACGCATCACCAACCGTTATTGCTCCATCTCATGCAGCACTGTCTGTGTGCTGGCGTGTCGTAAATCATCTCAAGGCTACTTCTGGTGAAATGGGATGCTGCCGCGTCCTCTCCCCTCCTCGTTGTGTAGAACTGTCCGATATCAAAGGAATATGGTTGTGCTTTTTGCCAACAACCAGACGCTTCTCCTGGAAAATGTATTTTCCACACATCAAAATTACACAGTGGGAAACGTGCTTTGGGTTTTTTTGAGTTTGGTTATGTTTGGACACATTTCCAAGCCTTTCAAAACATTCACAGGAATAATACAAGTCTGTTGGGAGAGGGGTGAAGTTGTATGGGAACGTCATTTTCTAGGAGAACGTGTTGGGGCATCAGAGCGAGCTGGCAACAAAACATACGACTCGTTATTGTTCAGACGTTCTGTCCCATCGTTTCATAGTCACTTTGACACGGAGAGAGACAGCGGCGAGATGCCACAGGGTGGATGTCCTTCTAAAAGTAGTCCCCTCCGAAGGACGCAACCGACCAGTAACACCTCTGCGCCCGCCAGCCGCGCTGCGCAGGGAAGCCGTATGTCTGTATTTTATTTTCGAGCACAGGTCCCAGCTGGCGGGACGGGAGCGCGTTACGTCTGACTCATCGGTTAGGCGACGGGTCGGAGGCGGTGGAAACCTGCGCCGCGAGAAGGTCATAGGCTTCCCAGCATGCATTTCACCTCCGCCAGTGCACAAGCCGCGTGAGCCGGTCAGAGCGACGCAGCGACTGATAAGTTTGACGTTTGACGACTGTCATGTTTGAATTTTGAAGTGCTTGGTTTTTTTTCTGTCAATGAAGTTATTTATTCATGTTGTCTTTTTCTTCTCTGTGTAAATATATTTATTTTTGAGGTGAAGTGAAAATTTGTATTGTAAATGTGTGTACAGAATGTATCAGATAGGAATGTATCTGGGAATGGAATTATGGGTGGAAGCCATTTTTATATATAGATATACATACATACATCTTTGTATATTTAAATATTGATGTATAGATATATACCTATATATGTATACATATAGTTCTATTATCTTTTAATGTTTGTTGCTTTGATTTTTGTGGGGTGGCGCCCACGACTTTTTACACTTTTTTTGTACTTTTTCTTTTTTTTGTTCAGCGTTTTTTTTTTTTTTTTAAACCCCCACTTGTGAAGGCGAACAGTTCATGCAGCAATACTCCGATGTCAACGACTCCAAAGCCTGTCACACACGCTTCAATGCCAAAAGTAATGTACATAGAAAGAACAACTCTCGAGCTCCTGAGGCTTTTTCTTTTCTTTTTTCGTCGATCAGTGTTACCGAACCTTGTTTTCGGCGCCGTAGCGAGCATGCGGCGCTTTCGAATTGCCCAGCGAGGCCCTTTTCTTCTGCGAAGGCTGTATTTTACACAGACCTCAGAGCTGTGCCTTTTTCTATGCAATACACACACACAGAGAAACTATCAGCTGATCACTGTATTGGGATCTATATGTGGACTGTAGATAATAAATACATATGTACGTGTATATATATATATACATATATATGTGTGTGTATATATACATATATATATAAATTGTATACAAGATGAATGAATTTTGAAACAGTCTTAGTTTTGTAGTTTCATATATATGTATATATATAATTTATATATGTGTATATATATATATATATATATATATATATATACAAACAATAAACTGTAACAAGAGCAAAAGCCTCTTTTGTCTGGTTTCTGATACCGTGTGCGGTCTCGTTCTTTCAAATGCATCCACATAAACACATTGACCTTCATATTTACGTAATTGACTGGAGGTCCCCTTACGAGCTTTTTCAGGAGAAGTCAGCGTAAAGTCACCATCAGTTCTTCGGTTGTACTGAACGTTCCTCTTCAGGACAGAAGACTTCAAATGATTATCATACTCACACGTTTTCTTTTTTTTTAATGCATTAATGCAACCGGCAGAAGTACAGAGCTGAAGGGCTTCAAGCTACACCGCGGTCACGTGACTTTACATTACCAGCAACTTTGAGTGTGAGACGCTGACTCATCTCCTTCATTAGTACCCATCAATCTTCTTCATTAGGCTCATGGGCGGCTTCCTCACACGTGCTGCTAGGCGGGCTTTTCATCTTGGCGGGTTCTGCTGTGTCGCATCTAGTGTTGGTACCAGCTTGTTGCTCTGACTGCCTTCTTCTTTGCGCGGGACACTGTGTGTCTCTGGGGAACAGCTCACTAGTCTCCATTATGAAGCTCAGCATGCGTCCCTCTGTCTCCCTCCCTCTCTCTCTTCATAGTTTCCGGCGGCACGGTGCCAGCGTTGGCCAGCGTTGAACAGGCAGGACTCCTGACCCGCAGGCTGCTGGTTATTTACAGCATTCAGGCCGCGCAGCTGCGAGGGGACGGGACAATCCGTCTCTATTGGTCGGGGAAGGGGAAAGTGTATTTTAACTTAGCAACAGCGCCAGCTAAGGTCACCGAGGACAAGGCAGAAGGCCGCCAGCAGCTGGGACAGAGAGACAGGGAGACGCAGGGACAGGGGGCTATTTTAGGGCTGCTACACACTGCTTCTTTTTTTTGGGTTCAATGTGGCTTTTATGGAAGGTGGATAATACAAACTGAGCAATGTTTATTCCATGATTAAAATTGAGTGAAATGTTTTAAAAATAACTCCCCTGGTTTTCAGTTTTTAAAGTTGTATTGTAACAGGGTTTAAAAACCCACAATGCAATGTTACCACTGACACATTGGTGGCATGTTTTGCAAATGTTTTGTTTTTTTATCATAGCCTTGATCTGTTTCCCTCCAGCAGGCATGAGGAGACTTCTTTTAAACTTCACACTTCTAGATCATTTTCTTTTTCAATCTCAAGCCTCAAACCCTAAGGGACATTATTTGAGGCTATTTCGCAGAGCTCCTTCTGGAGGCTCGAACCGTTTACGCATGCAGGATCTGTTCATATTTAAATGCCTCCTGTAAATATTGGACCTCAATACAAAGAGACTATGTTTTTCATTTGGCGTAATATTAATATATATAAATCCATTTAAATTTCAGTTCAGTTACCAAAATCTGGATATAAATATGTGTATAATAACAATAATAATAACTGTGTGAATTACAAAATAAAAAAGGCTGATGCAATACGTATATGGTTTAAAAAGTGAAGGAGCCGGAAGGGTATTAATGTGTTTCTCTTATCTCCCTGACCTTTGCCTGCTGATTGAAAGCACAAGAGCAGCTGTGTTACAGCGCCACCTTGCGGTTGAATACTAGTGGCACAGCCAGGGTTCACACAACTTCACGTGGACGTACCATTATTTCATCGCATGCTCTGTATGTGCATCGGTCCTTATACCGTAGAGAGGAGGCTCTTTTTCTCTCTCTCTTCTCTCTGAAGTTTAAACAATGTCACCGCCCCTACTCCCCCCCCCTGCTTTCATTAATACAACAAGTAAAAGCTGTAAATGAGGCCTCTAGGAGGCTCAGAGCGCTGGCCATGGTGCTGACAGGCCTTCATCCATCTCGCCTTCTCTGCTGACTCCGACAATGAGGGCTGAACCTGTAAGTGCAGCAATCAGTGCATCAAACTGGGAGAAGCATTGGTTTCATCCCGCAGATAGTGGCTTACCGTGGGATGATTCCCTGCTACACTTATTGTGTTATCAGGTGGCTGCTGTGAACAGCAGCACTTAAATTAGTAAAGCAGCTGGAATAAATAACAAATTCATCTCCAATCAAAAAGGAAAAAAACCTAAACCAGGAAAGTGGTCCTTTAATGTTGGATATTCCGGGAATAAACAGGGATGCCAGAATATCCTTACAAACTCAAATAGGGGAGCATGTTATCGATTTTTCTTCATACACATATATATTCTTCATTTAATATGACATTTGAGAGGGAAATAAAAGGTGTCGCCGCTCCACCTCTGCTGCTGTAATGATCACATTTGTTCAGTTAAGAGCCACATCGCCAGAGACCCCCGGCAATCCCCCCTACTCTTGCATCATGTGCTCTGTAAAAGCGCCGGCTTTTGTGCGCATGTTCCGCCGGCCGTCCGTCGTCGTCGCTCGATCTCCATTGGCTCCCCACTTCCCCCCTCCGCACCCGGCCTCCCGCACCGCGCCAGCCTCCTCCCCACAGCGGAGAACGCGCGCGTGTGTCTGTGTGTGTGTGTAAGTGCGTGTAGGTCCGACCCACGCTGCGCCTCGGAACTCGGAACTCGGACGCGCTCTTCTGAAGCGAAGCTCAAGAAAATAAGATGGAGAAAAAGAGCGAGATCAACGGGCACGCCGTGCCCGACCCGGCGTCCACCGGGCGGACCGCGGAGCCCGGCGCGCGGCGGGGCTGCGCGGAGAAGCTGAAGGAGTTCCTGAGGAAGAACCTGCTGGTGATCATGACGGTGTCCGGCGTGCTGGTGGGCGTCGGGCTCGGCATGCTGGTCCGCGGCATGGACCTGACCAAGGCGCAGATGGCCCACTTCGCCTTCCCCGGCGAGATGCTCCTGCGGATGCTGAAGATGATCATCCTGCCCCTGGTGGTCTGCAGCCTCGTGTCCGGCGCCGCCAGCCTGGACACGCGCTCCCTGGGGAAACTGGGGGGCATCGCGGTCGCCTACTTTCTAGTGACCACGCTGATCGCCTCGAGCATCGGGGTCGCGCTGGCCTTCATCATCAAGCCCGGCGTGGGCGCGGGGTCCCTGAGCCTGGGACTGGAGACCGTCAGCAGCAACAAGGAGACCGCCGACTCCTTTTTGGATCTGGCCAGGTACCTTTACACCATGAGTGCCATTGATGGATGAGAATCACATGCTGGTGAGGGTGTTGCAGTGGTCTTTTGTTTTCTCTGGAGGGATTGCGTGGATCGATCGTGGCACGTTTTTACACCTTAAAGCGAGCGGATCCACGCACGGTGTCGTGCGTGGCGGTGCGCGCACACGTGCTCCCGAACTTCTCCTCGAACTCGTGCGGCATGCAGATGAGGGTGACGTCACAGAGCGGGTCGGCGTACCCTGCGGTTGACTAAAAAGGGAGAACAGTCAGTGAATGGTGATGTTAGTTCAGTCAGAAGAGGTCAGGGGGCCCCGACCTGGGGTCAGCGGCAGCGTCAGTCGATCGCTGCAGACACAGGAAAATGTTTTTTGTTAATGATGTGTTGTGTAACTCATTGGAAGCGGCTCGGTTTGTAATAGTAATTCAGAGGAGCACGCTGCTTCACGGTCGCAGGGCGGTGTGGACAATGTCTGCGTTCCAGAGATTAGTTTTAGGGCGTATTATATTGGAAAATGGTCAAAATAGACGTCGATGATTCTGTTTTGAATGACATCCTCAAGCAACCTTTTGTCTTGCATCGAAGATGCTCAGTCGACTGCAGAATGTAGGCCAATCGAAGCTAAAATCAGAAAAATAGTGGGTTTTTTCACTGTCCCCACTGAAAAGATTGATTTACTATCGAAATATGTGGTTCATTTACGTTTTTGATAGATCGAACAAACGGCCCGTATACATTTTAGGGCTATTTATTGACCAAAAGTCAACCATAACGTAGCCCAGGAGGAGTCCTAATAAGAGGTTCCCACGGTGTGAGGGAGAGCTGACAGCTGTGACAGAGCACAGCCTATTTTGAGGATGGATATCGTGAAGTACAAACTGCTGCTGGCAGCGTTCCTCCCTGATAACAATAGCAGGTGGACGGGCTGATTTTGCTTCCCATCATAGAGTTTATGTACTTATAGTGACAACTTATTCCAGACATTCCAGGAAGCATCACAGCAGGATTTTTGGGGCGTGTTTTAGGTCCCTACCTTGGAAACTTGCTCGACACGATACTCAAGTCAGAATATCGTCTTTATCAGTTGCTCCGTTTCCCTTTGAGGGTTTTATGGTTCCTCTGTCAACACGCTTCTATTTCTTGGACAAACAGGTCTCACAAGCTTTGAGCTTTCATATAAACTGGAGAGAAAAAACCCACATTATTCCAAGTCAAACTCCATCCTTTAAAAAAAAATCTTCCCACAGCCATCGAATTTCTTCATGATGTAAAACGAGCTCATCTCAGATGTAACTCAAACACAACTACACTGCACACGAAAAAACAGACACAACAAAGCCAGGCTGTAACACTCAAGGGACTGCTGTTCCTTACCTAACGTATGTTTAACAAACTGTTTGTAACTTACATCCTGAACAAACATAATTATCTAGACCCCAAACAGACGGCTGGATAAACTAATCAGCTATCACCTGTAACATTGTTAAGTAAAAAACACTAATTTTCGGTAAAAACCCCATATTAATTTAAACCTTAACACATGGCTTTCACCCAGGAGGCCGTGTTACTTATTCTCTTTAACAATACTAATGTAAAAATCCTAACCGAGTAGTGTTGCTACAGGTTATTGCAGGAGCGCACTCATGTTGCTGGACGTTTGTAACAAATGCAAATGAACAAATAAACTTTTGTAAGGTTTCGTACAAACCAGTGTATGTATTGATCACTGGTAAAGTCACAATCATAGTATTCAACTTAAATCAATGTAATTAATGTGTTTTTCCTCTTTGCCAACAATAAAGAAAAACAAAATTCAATAACGATAGAAGTGTCAATTTCTAATTCTGCTGGATCATGAACACTGTTTGCCTTCAATTAATTAGGAAATCAAGAAGTTATGTAACAGCTTTGAAATATCGGTCTGCAGAGGAGCAGTGAGGCTCCCGGGGGGGAAAAGCATGCTGTTCTCTCTGCTCTGGTTTCCCAGAGTTAATCCGGATCCCAGCCTGGCTCATGTGACAGCAGGAGACCTGATCACTCTCACGGAACGAGGAAGAGTGTGAAACTTTGTGTGGGATCACGAGTCTGACTAAACTATTACAATTCTTAGTTACATTATGAATCAAAGAAATGAGAAAGTGACGTTATCGTGGCTACTCACAGATGAGGCATTTGGACCTGGAGTAAAGGCACAGTTGACAGGGGTCACGGGGTCATGGGGTTGTGGACTGAATTGCTCGGCGGTGGTCCGGCCAGGGGAAGGGATGAGAGCAAAGTCTGTGTTCCTTCGCACAGCACGGCGTGGCTGCAGTGGACACAGTTACACAAAACGCACTGATACGTAGAGGCCTCCAGTAATCCCTGTGTGCTTATTTTACACCAGTGAAAATAAACTCAGCTCGGTGCCTTTATGGAAAGACTGTCAAGGAAGAGGTTGGTGTAATGCATTTATAAATAAGGACTGCTTAAAGGTCAAAATATATTTTTTTAGTTCAAACCGAAATATCTCAACTATTGCATGGTGCCATGTCCAGAATATAAAAACAATCTTTAAAGTTCTGAACGAGCAGTGAAAAATAACCTGCCTCCAATAAATTAAATTCCCATATTACTTTACTGCACAGTTGTAACACGCGGTTAACAGTGCAAATCAACTTGAAATCAAAACAAGAAATGCTCCAAGATTCAGGTAAAACAACCTGATTTGGTCAGGTTTTGGAAATAAGAGTACTCTGTTTCCTTTAGGCATTAAAACTACTTGTTTAGGATTAAGCCGACATAAGTATTTTATTCATGGGATGAATAATGTGCTGCAAACATTGGTGTATAAGCAAAAACTGGTGTTCTATTGACACATCCACCACCATCACCTCCTCGTGGACTCATTTTAAAGCCGTGACACATCCCAAGGAAACGTTATACGACAAAATCCTCTGCACTCGATTTGTTTGTGTGGGAAGATCATATGAGAAAAGCGTCATTTTTCATTTCAGGAAAACTCAACCGTAAATGAAACCTCCATGAATATCTACTTGTAGTAAAGAGCATGTTGATTTGATTTTGAGAACAAATTTAGGGAGCATTAGACTTTCATGTGCCAGGAACATCCAGAAGGCCCAATCTAGATCTCTGAAAGACTTTTTTTTAGGCTTAAATGTTGTATTTCGTGAGTATTTTGTCGATTACAAATATCAACCCTCGCATTGTCTGTGGAGCTAACTCGTTTTTGTCCTTCTTCCTCAGGAATTTATTCCCAGCAAACTTGGTGGCTGCTGCTTTCCGTTCTGTGAGTGCCAACACAACACCTCCTCACCACAGCACACTGTCCGCCCCCCCGGCCCCCTCCTGACTATTCCCCCTTTTGATCACCAGGTTCATTCTTTTTACTCTTTGTCCAGTGTGGACTGTTCATCACAACTTATTTCATAATGCGGATGCCGCTCCGCGTTTATTTACAGCGGCAGTAAATTGCCGCTGAGAGTCTCACAAGGCCTCTTAATGAGTTCGCCGCTCTCCACTGCCCGCCAAGGCACTTCTTTACCAGCCGTTACCATGGCGAAACCATTCCATTTTAGCCAGCCTGGCAACACGGCTCAGCCCGCTGCTCCCAAACGAGGTCCGCTCCACTTCCTAGAATTATGGTCGCGGCTGTTAAGGCCAAAATGAGAGCAAGGAAAGTTCAATATTTGGGGATCCACTGATATGCAATGGAAAAACACACATGAAAAACAAAGTAAGCACACGGACACGTAGTTACACACACTCACACATCCGGAATCGATTGGCTCAAACTTGCCTAAAACCGGGCCAGCAGAATACGAACTCACAAAGAAGCCAGTGACTTCTTACAGTGAGAGGAAATGGAGTTTCAAAGTGCAGCCAGGTCACTGAGTTCAATATTCACCCCCAACAGCGAGCCGATACTGTGGCAGAGCCCATGTGGAATGAGTCCAACTGTGACAGAGGGAGAGGGGAGATTAACATGACAAGCAGCTAGACGTTTATACAGACATTTAAACAAATTATCAGCCCATGGGGGGGGGTTGCTGTCTTGGTTGGTTTTATGACCAAAATCAGGTGCTTTACATCTCTAAATTCCTTAGTATCTAAAACCCAATTTAAAGTCGAATCCGTCAAGATGTCAGAAACCTTTTATTCAAGAGGACTTTGTAAAGAAATGCACAGAGAGCGGGGGGCTTTGCTGCAGTCCCTGTTGTCTCTACTTAAGGACAGCAAACTGTAAAAAGGCCTTTAAACTTGCACATGCATGCAGTCTGTATGAGACCAATGTACAGACGCGCTTCTAAGGGGGCGTCCGTTTCTCCACCATTGTCAGCTGAGCAACATTTTAAAAATCCCTCATGCACATCTATGCAAATGGTACTGTGATATGCTGCTGTGATGAATTAATTGAAATTGAAATAGTGGCTTGACATTTTGTCCATCGAGTCCATCACTCCGCCCCATTCTAACTGATAAACGCCGTGGAGTTGTGAGCTTGGACCAATCTTTTCCCTAACATCACAATGAACAATAAATAAATAAATAAAAAATGCGTGCAAGAAGAATTAACCTCAAGCTTTCCTCCCCCTTATGTTAGTATGCCACAGAGTACAAGATGGTTGCTGCAGGGAACGACGCCAATGGGACGACCCTTTATCAAAAGGTAGGAACTGGAAGAATTCCACGTATACAATCACGCACAGAACACCAACATAGTAGTTTAGCCCCGTGCCACTCACAGAGCCAACATCCGAGTCTGAAAAGCGCTTCCAAAACCTTGGAAGCCGATTCTAAAACCAATTAGAACCAATTCTAAAAAAGTAGGATTTGGGGCTTGGCTCACATGTGACTGACAACGGCGATATTGCTGAATTGTCTGGACTGGTTGTGTGTTTTCAGTGTAGACCTTTAACCATTTTAAGAGTGTGTTTTTCGGTTCAGGATATTGGTTGGCTAAAAAAATGACCGTTTGCCATTCAGTTGCTCCAACTCCTCTAACCACTTCTAGTGGAAAAAATGATCAGCGTGTACAGGTTGGCTTTACGGGTGTGCAATGTCTTATTGAAAACAGTTAATATCTGTCTTTACTGCGCATCTTATTCAGAATGATTGAAATTACACTTTACAATGTAAAACCACTGACCATCTGGTTAAAGAGGCATACATCCTGGTCTGTGGTTCACCAGTAAAAGTCTGGTTTATTTTATCAATTAAAGCCTGGGTTGCAACGGCTGATAAACAAGTGCATGAAGCCTGTTTTTGTGGTTTGGTCACAGTCAGTCAAAAGTGTTGACCAGCTGCCACGCCAGCATGACCAACCACATGTCCTCGGCTCTGTGACGAACATAATGAGTGTGATGGCTCCGTCTGAAGGCCTGTCAGAGGAATGGTTGCTAGGTCTCCATTGGATGTTGGCTCAGAGATGAGTGTCCCATGTAACACTACATAGGTTCACACGACGAATGACTGGACCCTAAAAAAACAGCTGGGTCTGTTCAGTCTGATGAGTTTCATTTATGTTTTCAGATTGTCCCCCCACCCCCGCCCCACAATCATTGCCAGTCCCACCGCGGAGCTTCTTAATCCCTCCGTCCACCCTGCTGTAGTCCCATCTCTAAACTGCCGAAAAAGTGTGATCTTTTTATTTTGGAAAATTTATACAACAAAAACAGGCCTCTAAAATCCTTTTGATTCTCCCCAGGGGGTTCGGGTTTTCCCCAAATGACCCAGATAGAGGGAACCCTTTGGGGGTTTTGTTTTGGCCACCCGCCCCCGGTATTTTTTTTTTGTGGGTGGTGCGAGAAAGCCCCCCCCCCCCCCCCCCGCCCCCCCGCCCCCTACTGCCTCCGCTTCCAGTGCCAGGGGATGGAGCTAGTGGAGCTGTGGGAGAGCTCAGAACAATGGAAGGGGATTGAGCTCAGGATTTGTCCCTGTCCTTATTTGTCATCCATCATCCAGTTCACTGAATCCTTCAACTACCCCCAGATCTGCTCACCTACGCATGCACAGCGTGTAGCGAGAGGTGCTTAGTGAGCCACTGTGGGATACATCAACACTAGTGTTCTACAGGCTTCCGCCTTCATACGGAATGGTTACAATTGAGTTCCCAGTCCGAGCTGACAGTATGTGTTGCTCCACCACCGTGGTCCAGACGAAAATATTTTTTAACAACTAACAGAAGGATTTCAAACCAACCTAGTGCAGACTTTCATTCCCCAACTGGTTCATGCGAAGGACTTTAGTTTTCCCCTGACGCACAAAAAGATGTTGTGTCCCGATGGCTTTGGTGACCCCCTTTCTTTCACCCTTCCCTCCACTATAAAGTAGACATTTTTGATTTAGCCTGGAAGCACTGACTCCTGATTGCCTTGAAATTTGATGCCGGCATTGATGTTTCAAACAATATCATTCTGAGGTGATGTTGTTGAACTTTTCCAGTGCCATTATCAGGTCAATTTTCTATTATAATATGACTTTGCCTTATGATTATATACAAGTCAAACAAATTATATCTGCGTCAGCTGTACTTTTAGTGCTAATGAGCCAATGCTAGCATGCACGCATGTTTACACATGTCAACATGTTGCTAAACTTGCTAAACACCAGCATGACAGTGTTGTTAGCATGTTATCATTCTGATTTTAGCATTTAGCTGAAAGACTAGCGTTTCTTTAGCTGTTAGTCTCATTTAAATTGATTTTAAAAGGCTTTCTTAAGCCCTAGGATTGTTTTAGGTAGACAATTTCTTTAAACAATAATGCCCATGTCTAAATTTGAAAACTTTAGTTAAACCTTCTCACATTGTGTCTTTTTTCCCCACGTTTATAGGAACCAACCATAGCTCTGACTTTGCTGTGTGTTTCTTAGGTGCCCGTTGGTACTGAAACAGATGGCATGAACATCCTGGGTCTGGTGTTATTTGCCATGGTGTTTGGTGTGGCGCTAAGGAAGCTGGGAGAGGAGGGGGAAGAACTTATTCGGTTCTTCAACGCCTTCAACGAGGCCACTATGGTGCTGGTGTCCTGGATCATGTGGTCAGTAGAGTCGGGATAATTCTGTGGTATCAATAGTGAAATATTTGGACTGTTTCTGATGGTATTACTTGAGAACACCGGTGGAAAGCAGGCCCTGACTGCACTAAACCGTTGACACATGTTGACCCTGTGACCTCTTCCTTCTCTCAGGTATATCCCTTTTGGCATCATGTTCCTGGTGGGCAGTAAGATTGTGGAGATGGAAGACGTGGTTCTTCTGGTCACCAGTCTGGGAAAATACATCTTTGCTTCAATCCTGGGACACGTCATCCACGGGGGCGTCGTCCTGCCTCTCATCTATTTTGGCTTCACGCGCAAGAACCCGTTCACTTTCCTGTCGGGCCTCATCACGCCCTTCACCACAGCTTTTGCCACCTGCTCCAGGTACGCTGTCACCTCGCATGGTACCCAGATATATATTTAAATTATGATTGTATTTAGACCCAAGTTACAAAAAACAGTCATCAGAGGGATGCTGCTCAGCTGACTGGAGTGGCAGCAATGCACATTTACGGTACGACCCACCGTAATGAAACAAGTGAAGCGTAGTCTTTAGCTCTAACTTGCCCTTTCCTTTAGCTAGCTCTATTCAAATGTTTACCCAAGAAAGACGAACTACAGTTATAGATTCTTTGCAAAGGGCGGGAACCTTCCTGTATGCAGCGCAAATGAAACAATCTTCCTTTTTTTATGACTTTGGGGAATCACAAGCATTAATGGTTTCGGTTTCACCCGATTGTCTGATAAAGATCAAGCTCTTTCTCCATTTGCTCACCAGCTCAGCAACTCTCCCCTCTATGATAAAATGTGTGGAGGAGAACAACGGCGTGGACAAGCGCATCAGCCGCTTCATCCTCCCCATCGGGGCCACCGTCAACATGGACGGAGCGGCTATATTCCAGTGCATCGCCGCCGTTTTCATCGCTCAGCTCAACAATTTTGAGCTGAACGCCGGGCAGATCTTCACCATCCTGTGAGAAGACAACACACACAAGAATGTCCGGACATTTCCCGGCAAGCGGTCGTCTTCTTGGTTCTATCTAATTCATGGGATTATTTCATCATTATTCATAGGGTGACAGCCACAGCGTCGAGCGTCGGTGCAGCAGGCATCCCGGCCGGCGGCATCATTACCATCGCCATCATCCTGGAGGCCATTGGCCTTCCGACCAAGGACCTGTCCCTCATGCTGGCTGTTGACTGGATTGTGTGAGTAACGGAACCCCAGGGAAAACACACGTCTGCACACACGTGCCCAATGTTACGGTCGGGGAAACAGGACCAGGGTTTCTGTTAAGTCAACAAGGGCAAGCGAAGGGAAACCGCCGTGCACTATTTGCCACGTGTTAATAGAGCAAACCAATACACACGGCTGCAGTGGGACGTTTTCATTTTAAACACTTTAAATCTGTTCCACAGAACAGGTCTTAAGTGGTAAAAATAACTCACTCAAAAGTTTATTTTCTTCCACTGTGGAACAAAAACGTCTAAGTTAGAGAGGTAAGACACCCGGCCATGTATTAGCTGTTGTGTTATTAATGACTTTAATCGAGCAGCTTTACCTGTGACTCCAAACAAGAGTTCAAACACAAATAGAAGCAGCTTAGAACCCGGTAATATGAGCCGCAATAGTGGCTGCTCACTCCAAATGTTTGCCAAGAGTAGACGAAATCTCATCTGCCGTCCTGCGTCAACCATGTGTGCAGGGATCGCACCACCACGGTGGTGAATGTGGAGGGCGACGCTCTGGGTGCCGGAATCCTCCACCACATCAACCAGCAGGAGATGAAGAAGCAGCAGGAGCAGCAGCAGGACAAGGAGCTGTCGGAGGTGCGCGTGGAGGCGGTGGCCAACGTCCAGGCGGAGGAGGAGACCTCGCCGCTTGTCACGCACCAAACCAAAGCCTCCGCGGCCATGCCGGAAGCCATTGAGTCTGTCCTGTGAGGCTCAGAGAGACTTTCTATTTGTTCGGCCCCCAACCGCCCCCCTCCGTGACCTTTTTGAGCTTTCGGTACTTGTGATGTTGCCACTGCCGGGACGCGTTCTGACTCCGTTCAAAAAATAAGGTCACAGAGGGATTCGCTTGTGAGGGAGGTGCCATACAGCAGCAACAGTCTACAGTTTACCCTGTTCGGCTGTTGCGCTTTTTACCTGGGTTTGCATCCAAGAATTTTCCTGCAGAATAGGATATAATGAATTTCTGAATTTTTCATTTGAAAAACATTTCCTCAAATTATCGTATTGTGCGATAATTAGTGACGGAGAAAATATATATACTAAATTCAATATACAAATTATACCGAAAACATTCCCGTAAATGTCGTAGTTGTGTTTGTCAGGTGTGCTGTGCAGGATGCTCACGGCCATAAGTTTGTATATTAGAGCATCGTCAAGTGCATTTCTTTTTTTATCTTCAGACAGCAAATACAACGATCAACTTTAACCGTAGAACACTTAACAACTCGCTAAATGCTGATCAGCTCACAACTTAATTACACAATCTGGATGGCTGTTCAATCACTTCAACTCAGTTGACGGAATGTATTTGCCTTTTATTTATTAGCTTGCTGGCGTCATGTTCTTTGCTGAATGGAAAGAGCAAACATTTAATATCAAATCAGAGTGAGAAATTTGGTTTAAAAATGGTTGTTTTGCATAATACAGAGTGCTGTTTTAAAAGTACCAATGCTTCTATTTGCTGACCGTCAACCGCAAATGTCAAACATTAACCACCTTTAATGACGGGCTAAATATTTGGCCTCTTGCAACCTCGAGTGACACAGTGAGATAGAGACCGAGTGGTCCAATAGGTAAAGTATTTAGAGCCTTGGGCCATTTGAAATGGTGTGTCATAATTTGTGTTAAATCCCTGACCAATCCTATTCACCTTTGAGTAAACAGAATGTCGGGGTCATGGTTCCCTCACTTAGTACTGAAAATTACCTCACAAAAATCCAAGTGAAAAGATTAAAAAAGACAGGTAACTTATCTTCCTGTTCGTTTCCCAGCTGATATCAGTATTTTACACACATGATGCTCTAATTCTGTAATGAAAGCAGTTCATGGCTGCTTTAGAAATGTGACTATTGAGTCTGTATCGGCGACTCAACGTGGCTACACACTTAACCAGCCTGTCGCCTTAGCTAGCTAGCTATCAAAAGTTTCAGAATGAATCAGTAGTTTTGTAATTGGGGGCAAGTAAGCTGTGCATATGTGTGTGTGTTGGTATCTTTCTTACCAATTTGTTGACTTAATATTCCAATTTATTTATAAAAGTAGCTTGTTGCCTTTGCTAATTGGTTTGAGAAACACGTTACCAGGGAGTCTAACAGTAGTTAGTAGTTTGTTTTGGGCTTTGTTTGCCAGCTAGCCAGCTAAATCAAACTTAAACATAAAGCTAACTATGACTGTTGCTCTCGTTTCTTAGCTAATGTTTGCTTAGCTGATATTTCAGGTGTTTAGATTAAGTTGTGTTTGGCTAGCGATTGTTTCAAACTAACATAGTATGAGAAGATTGATTTTTTTTTGTTAAAAAATAAGCTGCCACTCAAAAATAGGACCGAATTGAAAATTTCCGGCCCTGTTGAGATGACGAACAAGCTACTTAAAAACCACCTCACAGGATTCTGTTGAAGACTTAAGCCACAATTAAAGTTGATCCAACGCTGGTTTGCAAGTACTGTTCAACATGAAAACACTCCAGTCCCGCCTTATTTACAACAGACATTAAATTCATGGCTGTCGGTAATTCAGGATTAGTCTCATTAAATTTATAAGGAATTCAAAACATCAAAGCTTCATCAAATGTTTACGGGCAGAAACTGGACCCAAAATGCATGACGAGTTCAGATCACACTGTACATTGATACACACTTTGATTGTTTTCTAACTGGGGTTTCTAATGCTTGCGTCATCATAAAAGCCTGAAAGGCTATTTTAATTGTTTTACTGACAACTGACTATTTTGTAATTTGGTCTGTGTGATTCGCTCACAATGAACTGTGGTTGCTACTGTAGATGTCTCTAAAGGGAACATTGGACTTTGCCATAGCTCTTTGTGTAAATGTGGATTTCCCTGCTATGGGGATGAAATGTGTAAAACGGGATTTGCATCTTAGCTGACGTCGGTGCTGTATGAGACACCGTTTGGCATGAAGGAAACTGCCAAATTTGTGGTGGTTCAAACTTCAACACAATGCAGGACGAGACCGAGGATCAGCCTGTGCTGTCCTCTGGTGGTGACGGGTGTTAATACGAAAGTAGCAAACTGAGGGTGACGGCAGAACAGAGCTCTGTTGGACCATTTTTGTGCCTGTCTACAACACATGATGTGATTAAATCTGTGGTAAAGTGCTCTATTAATTTGATGCAACATTCATGAGGAAACAACTGGCGATGTGGCTGCTCCTGTGATATTATAACGTATTTTAATAGGTGAATGAACATCATGTGTGAACCAGGTGCTGCTGAAGTTATGGATCATGGTGTGTATGTTGAGACTGTCAAAAATAAAGAAGTAAACTAGTATTTCTTGTCATTTTAGATTAAACAGGTGACTTTTCTAAGCTAACAACTGCTCTGTTAACACAACGCTCTGTGAATAATGTTGATGAGTGAATCTGCTACAATCACATCTAATTACGCATTATGTCGTACATGTGCTCAATATATATACGTATATATTTGATATTCATTTATTGTAATCCTTTGTATCTTCTCATTTCAATACTTTCCTTAAGTGTACATTTTTTTAATTATGATGTGATTTTTTAATGACCACTTTTGCCAGTTTATCTGATGAACTGCTGTCAGCAATGTAATTCAATTCCTGTTGTGTCATTTGACCTTTTAGGAGTAGCCATGTCAATGTGTAACACTGTTTACAGCTGTTTCTGCTGTTGGTTCTGCTGTCTGTCAACATTAAAAGTGATACAGTACGTTTTTCACGCAACCCAAACAAAAAGTCTTCTTGTCTTTGTGCTCGTTATCATTAGGGTCGTATAATATCAGACTGCTGACTGCTAAATGAAAAATAACCAGAACCAGAGGAGACAGTTCTCCCCTCTTTTACAACTGCACAGCAGCTTGAAATGACTGCAGTAAGACTGCAGTAACATCTGCAATGCGTAGTCACACGCATGACCATAAGATTTCTGAATGCTTCTGCAGTCATTGAGGTCACCAGCACAGTGTATTATTGCAGCATCTAATGATGCAAAACGTGGCTGTTTTGCATCTCTTAGTCGTCATCAATGCCGGTTTATGGTTGTATGTTATCGCTGTGTGGTTACTTTGTGTCTTAATGGTCATTGTCAGTCAGTTGTTCTCTGCCTGGTTTGGTTGGGTGCCGTCTCTTTCGTTTATCAAGTTGCTCTTTTTGGTCATTTTGTTCTCTCCTAATGGTCTATTCTGTCTCTTTATAGTGGTTTCGTTCTGTTTTTTGTCATATGCCGTCTCTTTTTGGTTATTGTGTGTCTTGTCTTTGGTCATTGTCCATCTCTGTGGTGGTGTTGTGTCTCTTTGTCTTTGTTTGAAACTTTGGGGACCCCCAAACCTGTTCCTCCACCCTGGTCCAGGGGCCTCTGTTTGAGCAGTAGCCCCGACCAAGGGCGGCGAAGGTTACTGTTGCTACTGAAAAAACAGATTCCTTGGTCTTTCTTGTCTTAATGGCAATCTGGTCCACTTACATGTTCTACTGGTGCAATAACGTTCAATGTCACTTTAACTATTTGTCCCATCGGACAGTTGAAACTCTCACACGGACAACCTCCGTTAAAATGTCATTCTGCTAATGTGGTTTTGAACTGCAAAGGCAAGGAAAGTCCAGAATATGTGTGTGTGTGTGTGTGTGTGTGTGTGTGTGTGTGTGTTCTGTACAGACGTGAACGGTCCGGTGTTGATATCAGTGTCCTACAGAGAATGCCAATAAACACTAAAAAATGTTAAACTTGTACATGGCCAAATATTGTAGAATTGTTGTCCTGGTCTAAACATTGAAATCCTAAATATGAGTTAACAAACCAGGAGTAAGATTATTAAAATCAGAAACCCCTCAGAAACTGTTCTGATGTAGTACACCCAAGAACAGAAAGGAAGATGAAGTTATAGCTTGCATGGAAACAATTGGTTGATTCATTAACCAATGAAAGATCGATCAGGTACTATACGTTAACAGTCTGCTGGGTGAGTGTAGTGACCTGTTGGAAAGTAGGGTTTGTAAATTGTTCAAATTTTAATTTTTAAGTATCAGAGTCTCTGAGTGAAGGGAAAAGGGAAATCTACAAAGTGCTTGATGTGATTTTCAGTCACTCAACAGCTTCACTGTACTGAGAACTCTTGAATTAATCCCGGCAAAGACAGGAGATGCCGCCCCCCTACTATTACTGCTACCACCACTGATAATAATAATAATAATAATAATAATAATAACTGTATATAATGAGTACCATTCACACAACCCTTGTCTTTTTAAGTCAGTGTTCCAATTCCCTCGGCTTTCTTAAACCTTACTTTGCAGATATAATATCTTACAAATAGTTAAATATGATGCATTATTTTATAAAAAATAAAGTAGGTCAATTTTTTCACGTTGCAGTTGTGCAACATTTAGATACAGCTGACCGGTTGATGAACAAATATTAATAATCTCATGCATGCAGATAACAGCTAAGAGCTTTGCTTTATTTGCTTCGCTCAATGTCATCCGTGTGTGAATCCCGCACACTCGTATGTTCGCACATCATGTCGCCAAATTCTCCTCCTCCTCGCGCGGCGCAGTGAAAATTCCCACAGTCTTGAAGGCAGCAGGGATGCTGCTGCCTTGGATCCCCATTACCTCGTTAGCAGGTTGCGAGCTAGCTGGATACAGGCGGCACGGACTGAGAGCGGCTTCGAGGGGGGTGTCCCACCCGTTTTAACACCAGCTGAAGGACTCCGCGGCGCGCGTCGGCTCCCGCAGCTGCGGCGATAACTCCCAAACTTCGGCGAAATGACGACGCGGTCGGAGCGAGAAAAGGCGCAGAAGCTGAACGAGCAGCATCAGGTCATTCTGTCCCAGCTGCTGCGGGAGGAAGACAACAAGCTCTGTGCCGACTGCGAGGCGAAAGGTAAGCCTCGGCGGCGTGGGCTGTGGCGAACTATGTCAGACGCGTGAGCGTGGAAAAAAAAAAGGATGCGGGAACTCGGCCGCTAGCGGTGCGCTAAAGCTAGCAATGCAGTGCAACGTTATCCATCACTTACTGAGCTTAACTCTGACGAGCCGCTCAACGCCAAAGTGTGTCGTTAGTTCTGACTAAAATATACATATGTTTCCATTTTCAATATGTTTTATGTTATACAATGCAAACGGAGTTGGTGCTTGTCCAGTCAGAATTGAGGTAAAAACGAATACTATTGAGCGACATTTGCGCAAGTGTGACGTTACATGAAAATGTACAATTTCCGTTCAGCCTTTTCAAAATAAAATCCCCATTGAGCTCGGTAGTTAATGTATGTAGTCAAGAGTTTGAAGAGGAAGATTCTTTTTATTTTAGTTCAAGGCAATAAATAGTAACAGTGAAAGTTGAACGATGTAAATAAAATAATTATTTTTTTGTACATATATTGAAACCTATGTGAAAAAACTTTTGTGAAGCAGCTCTTTTGTTTATGAGGTGTTATTTTTATTGCCTGCCTAGTGTACAGAGCTTTGTTTATTCTGAAATCATTTTTACCAGTATTTCCGGTTTTGTATTATACGACTAACTTGGCGCATCTTTTTATCCTACAGTATCCATGTCATGTCCTTGACTGTTTTATTTATGAGCGGAAACCGTGGGCGTCCCGTGTAGACAACATTGAATTAGATGTGTCGTTTGCTCGCCGAATGTGCTGCGCAGAAAAACGTGTCGCCGTCAGTTACTGCAGGTCTATTGTGCAGCTGCAGCCAACACCTCAACGCCTCTGACGCGCGATGCGCTCCTGAGCAAAACCACCCCTAAAAACCCTATTAAAATATACGAAAGTTTGTGATCCCTGGGCTTGGACTCTGACATTGTCTTCCCTCACGGAGTTTTCTTTAATCGTTGGGGCACAAGCAACAGTTCGGCCTGCACACATTGGCCTTCAATGGATTCCAATAGGTTTAAAGATTTGCAAGCTGCACCTTGATAGTTCACAGTCGTGGGTGTTCACGACATACAACATAAAAATAGATCAATTTAACAAAATTTCGCTCAATTGATTCAGAAAAGTTATCACATGATTCACATGACATGTGAACGTCTTGTATTGAGTCTACTTATGACTGAAATCCCTTTGCGTCATCACCATGCCTTTGCTGCCTCCTGGCAATAGTAATCTGCAGCACCAGACCTCCCTCAGCCGGCAATCTCGATTTGCCTCCGCCTGCTGCAGTTGCATCTCTTTTCCATTATATTATTATCAGTTTAAATAGCATTTCATTATCCTAATCTGGGGTTGTAGCTCCTAGCATGCACGTGGTGGAATGTGAGTGGACCTGCATTTGAGTTCTTCCATAGAAAGAATACAGTAACCATACAAAGACGTTTGCTTCATACCAAGGACAATCATAATGAATAATCTCCTAGTTTCAAACCCACACTGGGATTAGTCGTCGCTCCTGGTCCTTTCAACCACAAGCTCATGCTTGTGTGCCATGGATGTGGTTTTATGTGAGCCCCTTCTTAATCTCACGGACGCCCAGACTGACGTTACTCAATGACAGTGAACCCACATGGACTGAGGAACACCATGAGATATGGCTGAAAGCGCGGGTTGAATGCTGGTGAGGGGGACCTTTTTAAGTTACAGTAATTTCATTTGAAACAAAATGCAGTTTTAAAGGTTAAAGAACGGTCCGGCTCAAAGTCACGAGGAACCTCTCTCACTCCCAACACAATTGGATCATTTTTTTGAGACAAACATTTCATTTGTTATCAATCCTGTTTCTTATCCAGGACTCATGATTCTAGCTGCTTATCAAGTGTTTTTTTCTTCCTTCTCTCCACTGAACTGCATCATGTGCGCGAGCCGGTGACCTTGCAGCCTGACGAGTGTTTACTTCTGTGACTCGGCAGCAGCATCCGGCGATGCCCGATGTGTCACGGTCACTGTGTCACAGTTCATTTCATCCAAACATTGAATGGACGTGAAATCTCATCAAGAGATCACGGTTAATAACTGTCAGTGCCGCTAAGTGATGCTGACGATGTCTTACTGAATGTGTCTGTCAGCGATCCAAACCAACTTTAGTTGAATTTGATCAACAAGCATCCGCATCATTTCATGACTGAAAGGAGAAAAGTTGTTATTTGATGGATGGTGTTTCTCGTGTAGCCTGTGTGAGCGCAGGCTAACCGGCACAGCTGTCACATGTATCATTTATGTTGTTGTTTTGTCTCAAACATGACAGGGACTGTCAACCCCAAAAGTCAACAATGTGTATTTTCCTCCCAGGCAGCGATGTGCCCGTCTCACAGTTTCTGGGAGGAGACATTGGGTGTTTTTACCTTGAGCACAACAAGCAGAGACGTGGACGGCTAGTTCGGTTTGACTGATCGGTCCGTCCCCTGCAGGCGGGGTGTACGGGCGTGGTTGGCCCTGCGGTGTGGTGACTCACCTGAGCCTCTCAGCTGTAATTCCACCCTCACTCCAGTCTACACACGCTGCCCTACATTCTGTATGTGTGTGTGTGTGTGTGTGTGTGTGTGTGTGTGTGTGTGTGTGTGTGTGTGTGCGCCGGTCCTTATGGATTGCAACTCCATCTCCCCCGTCCCTCTTGGCTGCTCAGTCCATCCACTACTTGGAGTCCAGACTATCATTTTCGCCTTTTGTTATGTGTGTGTGTGTGTGTGTGTGTGTGTGTTCTGATTTGTGGCCAGGTTGTGGTTGGGTTTTTGTTTTCCGAGCTGGCTACATGCAGCTCTACTCTCTGCTCACACAGCAGATCTTGGCAAGCACTTGGCGTTTTGAACCCATCCGTGTCTGCTGACATGTGTGCACACACACACACACACACACACACACCTGCGTTGTCAAGCCTCTTGGAAGGTGTGAAACACGGGCTCAGCCTCGACGGGAGGAGCGGGTGGAGGTGGCCGGTCGGGTGAAGCGCCACACAAAGCTTGGTTTAATCCCATTGGCATTCAGGGCGATGGAAGGAGGCGCGATGTTGTCGCCTGAGCTAACGGCGCCCATAAATCCCCTCCGATGAAGGCGGATTGAACGGCGCACACTCGAGTGTTCTCACCCAGCAGCCGTGGGACGACAGCGAGAGGAGTCGTATTTATTGGTGTGACATTTGTCTCCTACGCGTCGGTCTGCAGACACTTTAACTCTGCCAACACGGTGCGTTTAATGGCGAGCGTTTCCAGGAGAATAAAGGTTTGCGTTGTGCTGGCGGATCAGAGTGAAGATGTGCTTTGCAGCACAACATAATTAATATGAAAAGACCTTTGAAAGGAGGCAGACAAATAACACGGAGGGTGTTGTGTTTGAGTCGTGAGAGGAGTTTCATTTATCTGTTGGTCTTTGGTATCCTGCTTAAAACCTGTTTTTCTTCCTGGTTGACCAACATTATCAATGAAATGTAAATCTCAGTTTCTACACAAATAATCACAATAGCACCACTTTAAAATCTGAAATCCCAATTTGTTTCTTAGAAATGATGCGGTAATGATTTAATACAGTCAGTTGACCTGTGAAAAGCTTTGTGGTTCACGACAGTAGTGAAAAGAAAAAAAAGTGACGTAAACAATTTATTAATGAAGATTTCTTTGGTTAAATTTCTTTGGTTAAGCAGCAATACTTCATTTCAAATCAACTCACCAACACTTTTTCCCAGTTTGTTGAGTCTCTTGGGAAAAGCAGTTTTCCTCACAGACTCCCGGTAACACGAGGCGAGTTAACAGATTTAGAAATGATCACTTTGTGGCTGAAGCATCCTTTTAACGGCGTCTTTTGCCCCCACTCGATACTTCTTTAACCAAACCTGTTGATTCACTGTACGTAGATGATTCAGTGGATTAAACGGACGGTGTTTTTACCGAGTGACCAGAGTACTCCGGAGCTCTAATCGTATTATTTCCGTAACAAACTGTGTGTTGGCTCTTTTTGCTTTTCATCCTTGCTTTCTTGCTCTAAACTCACCAGTTCGTTCGGTACACATCGATGCATTTACCCCCCTCCACTCCCCCTTTTATGCCCCTCATTCTGAAGCAAATAATGGAGCAGCATTCCGCACACAGCCTTCCTTTGCCAGCAGATGGCGCCCCGACATTCAGTCTCTCTCCACCCACCCCCACCCATCCATTACACCTGCTGACCTGAATTATAAATGCTGGACAGGCCATAAATATTCTAAATGTGGCGGCCCACCGGTTGTTGCTTTTCCCTCTTTCTGATCACACGGTGAACTGAACCGGGTGGCAGATATTGAAGTAAACCTCCACCTCCATGGGAGCAGTCTCTCCTCCTCACTCCTCGCCCTGAATCTCACTAACAGACCAGCAGGGGGCAGCAAAGTGCTTTATATTTATATGTATATATAAAGCACTTTGCTATATAGCGTTTAATATGTGATTAGATTAAAAAATGAACTAATTGATCTCACATTTTGAAATTCATTAATTCGCTCGAGTGTATTTTAGATATGGTTTTAATTTTTTTTTTAAACACAAAACTAAACACATTTAATCATCTCCAAGCCAGAATTCCACCGGTTGGCAACATCTTGAACTATTGACTGCTGGTCCGCGTGCATTTGTGTGTCCGTTCTGTAACCTTTTAGAACGAAACCCCCCACAAACAGTGTTGTTACCACAGCGATGGGCAGAACAAAGGCGACATGAAATCCCTTTTACATGAACTCTGCGGTTGGTGCCGAAAGTGAGGGGAAAAAAAGCAATTACCATAAACCACTGCGAGGGGTTGCTGGGACTCGGAGCGTTGTCGCAGCTCATCATCTTGGGGGAGACATGTGACCGGCAAGGTTCAAATTGAATGTATAATTCCCGCGAGCCATTAATATTTTCCGCTGAAGAGCTCAATTGAATTTCTCTCCAGTGATGTAGAAACACTCTGAAGTAAGAGCAGGACGGCGATCCACCGTGAAATCTGATCGCCTTGTCGAGCGGTGACGCGTTGGTCTGCAGCACGCGGGCTCGACACGCGTGAGCGCCGTGTTGACCAAAAACGTTTTGGGAGATGCGCGTTCAGAAAGGTCACAGCGGCGCTGATCCAAAGTGAAGTCCGGCTTACTGGGCTGAGCTGCTTTGAACCAGGCTTAACACTCAGTCATCCCGGCCTCAATGCCCCCTTAGGCCTCAATGCCCCTTTAGGCGGCCCATATAGCGCATTAGTGCCACTGCATTAACACACTGATGCCCCTGAACTCAGTCTCCTCGCCGTCGCTGGCATCCCTCCCCCCGAGCCGGCCGTTGCAGCACAACCTTCATGTAGCCCAGATGCATACAAGCGTTCGGAGGGACTGCAGCCCCGACGCCATTAAAGCGATTTGACTTGTCAATCCGTCGCCTGTTCGTTCATCCATTTGACGGAACGAGCGTGGTTGTTTTGTGCCCCTTTTTTATACACGATGCATCCGTACGACAGGTTTTTGTCGTAACCCTAACCCTTTTAAGCAACTAATATCGCTAAAAACGCACCGTTTAAAGGTTAAAGCTCTGCGACAAAAACATGAGGTCTAGCGGCTAAGATGAAAGATCTCGGGTAGATTTAGCGACTGGAGCTAGCGATGCTAACTCTGCTGAACGCTGCTCCACGAGCCGGCTGACAACGTCTCTCACTTTTTCAATGTTTCTAGCTGACTCGTTTTAAAACAAGGATCTCATATTAAGGTCTTCTTCCGTAAAACCCAAGTCAAAAATCTTTTATTTGGAAATTTTCCAGTTGTTTGATGCTCGGTGTAAATGCAGCAATACGCATTTGTTTGAAAGGAAAACGCAGCAACGCAGTAGTGTGGCTGCAGCCTGAGACGACCTTTGGAAGGAAAGACCCAGTCGCCATCCGCGTCTCAACGGGCGTCGCCTCATTTGCGTGTCAGTGGAAATCAAATTCTCATCCGTGACTCGCTGGAGGTTCTTGGCTTGGTTTTTATGTTCTCTGGCAGGGTTTTTATGTAACCCCTTGTGTTTTTTTATTTTAATTAATTTCTTTGCAGTGGGCTCTCCAGCAAGCAGGGATCCAAAATCCGACTTGGACTCTTCCTAAATTGGGTTGGTTTCACTTCTGTGCCGTGATAATTAGGTCTGCAAAAGCACGAGATGAGCGTTTAGCTCGTTATTGCACAATTGATTGATTATATGGTATTTTTTCTTCTTGTTTTAATTTACTTTTCTGGGGATCAGACTCTGTAAAATTTTATTATGTTTACTAATAAAAGTTTATTAAACTCAATGAGGACCCAAAATGCCTTATTTTATGGTACGTTTTACTTACTTTTTTTTTAACGACAGTGATATTAAGTTAAAGCTATTCGTCAATAAATTAAAGTAATTTAGGAATGCATGCAGAAAAACCTTTTAAAAGACTTAATTTGAAGAGATATTCAAACACTACGCGTGAAGCTATTTAAAAGAAAATCAGAGTTCTATTTTGGGGTTTATTAAACTCTTTATACACAACGTGTACATTTGATATGAAATATGATACGTCTGCACCTTTTTGTTGAGCTTCAAAGGATGCACACACTTTAATATGGAACAATTATTCTATAACCACAGGAAGTGCAATCACATGATATCCATAAATAAAACAAACCCTACTAAGCTCAGTTCCTAGAATCCCATTAATATGTATTAGGGATTATTACTTCCTGAGCAATGTTGAGAACAAAAAACGAAATGATAAGCCAAATTTAAAGTGGGTGAAACACTAAACCGTTTTTTAATAATCTTTTTACGAGTGAGACAATTTTGCCCAAGTAAGTGAAGCCGTTGAATGTTTGTGCTGTCTGGATTTGATCTCCTCTTATTAACTTGCCGACTGTTCAGCTCGCTGCACTCTCCCTCGTCACCCACTGTTTTGCCCTTTTGTTGGAGCGAGAGTTACTTTTTTAATTGTTCAAAGCACATTTTTACTGTTTGGGGTGAAGAGGTTCCGAGACAATAGCGGCCTTTTGTTTTTCTCTTTTAATTTTTTTTTAAATGACACAATTTTTTCATTTGTTTGTAATTCACCGCTTCCTGCTGTTCCACAGCCTCCGCACCGTAGATATTAATCGAAACTGTCTCACCAGCTATAGATGAAATCCTCCTCTCTCCTCCGCCGAGTCTGTTCACCCAATAGGGCTCCACGGCCATCACGGCGAAGATGCCACGCGGCCGGAATTTTAGGCACACGAAAAATGTAAAGGAGCCAGAGAGACTTCTGTGCGTTGTAGAGATATTTAATCCTGTCATCGTTCCTTGAAAGGACAAACGCGAAGGCGCCGGCCTTCACGTTGAAAGAGATGGGAACCCGTGTACTTTTTGATAAACGGTTTATAAATCGAAATACCGACTTTGACTCCACCACTTTCCTGCCAGAGGGCGAGCGACCGACGCAGGAGACGGACCTGCAGTCAGCGGTGCGCTTAAGCAATTTGGGTTCAGTTCGCCCCTCTGGCGCCGATGGGTCTTTTTTGAGGATCCCAGTGGTTTTCATTTGAATTTGAATTTGAGTTTCCATGGCGGATGGGTAGCTGTTAGAGGTGAACGTCTGACCCACGGCTGATTTGTTTGGAGCAAAGCAGCTTTGAAGCAGCGACTCTCTCTCTTCCCCACGCCAGGTCCTCGATGGGCGTCATGGAACCTCGGGGTGTTCATGTGCATCCGCTGTGCCGGGATCCACCGCAACCTGGGGGTCCACATCTCCAGGGTCAAGTCTGTCAATCTGGACCAGTGGACACCTGAGCAGATCCAGGTATATACACACACACACACACACACACACACACACCTTTCTCACATACATTGTCTCTTGCGCAGTCATTAGAAATACTGCAGAATCTCAGGACAAATCCATCATAGACAACTGTCACTTTCTTCTCTGTGGTGTTGCTCTTTTTAGGATCTCTGATTCCAGTTGATGTCCCTTTTAAAGGAAGAGGACACACGTAATAACTTTTAGACTGATTGTACCTATGATTTACATCTAAGAATGTATTTGGACCGGGGTTGTTTTATATTCCTTGTAGCTTATCGGGCATCACATGTTGTCACTGGTACATTCCCATGTGGCAGAAACCATGGCAATACTTTATGTGAATAAAGCCAACATGTAATCAAATAACCTGGGTTTGCTTTGTGCAAGTTAATACAATCATTGACGTTTGTGTTCTCTGGTCAAGTTTTCCATTTAACCGAAAGTACCCAATTTGAGGATAAAGGGCCACTTTGTGTTCACAAATGAGACCCCGTGCAGACGGACTCTAGTTTGCCTGAACCCGGTGAACCCCGTCTCCGGATAGCCCTATCGTGCAGACGAACGCACTGTATCCGCACACTGTATCCGCACTCCCTCGAATCGGGGTCCAAAGTGAGTAAACTCAAAATCCGATTGCTGTTGTTGTTCGTCTGCACGCTATCTGCATACCTAATCGGATATCATTACGATCCAACCCAGTCGTCATCGTCGTCTTCTTCTTCTTCTTCTTCTTCTGTGGAGTCTTTGTCTGTATACGCCGCACATGCTCCGTGTTATCCGTCTTATACGCGTGCTCCTGTCTTCTCCTTCCGTTTTCTTCAGTTGTCTGTAGCACCTTAAAGCGCCACCAACAGGCGTGGGGGATGTACTACAGCGGAGTCAATCGGATTCACTGGGTTCATGTGCACGCGATTTAAAAAGTGGGTAGGTGTGAAAAATGAACCCGGGTTCAGGCAAACTGGAGTCCGTCTGCACGGGGTCTAAATCGCAGCGGACAAAAGTTAAACACACAGCAGGCATAAAAAAATAAGAACATGGTTGAGCCTAAATGTGCTTACCCATTAACCGTCTATTTTACTTTAAATATAACCCACATTTAACACATGAACATCATGCTGCTGCATTGAAAAATATATAAGGAGAAGACTTTGAAACGTGTGATTGGGATTGTCTGTTTGACAGACGCACACACACACACACACCCACACACACACATAAATATAAAGACACTCCGACGTCTAAAGGGAATACAGACACCTGTAATCAGTATGTGGGGAACTAGCTTGTCTCATTGATTCAATTACACACAACAAATGAGGTGTGCGTGTGTGTGTCAGTAGAACTCACCAGAGCACATTGAGAATTTATTCAATCACGCAGCTGTTAATAAATCCAATTGTTCAGTCCTTTTAAGTGTGTGTCTGTCTCTTGAAGGCACAGCCCATCCATCAGCCGAGTGAGGGTGAAAGGAGCACTCACTCTGAATGTTAATGCCTGTTTTTCAATGACTAATTAATTCCGGATGGCTGATTGTCCGGACTCCGTCTCAACCACTTCTCCCATCATCACCTCATTCATCACCCTCCTCTCGATTTGCCCTCGACCGCACACGAGCCGGAGCGTCTTCCCCTCACCTGCGTACGAGCGCAGACGGCGGGCCAGTCGCGTCGACCGCTAACGAAAAAACACGTCTGTGTGCGAGCTCGACGCGTTCTTCAAAGGAGTTTTACCGATCTGTGTGTATTTGTACTCCCTGCAGAGTATGGTGGACATGGGCAACAGCCGGGCCAAGCGGCTGTATGAGGACCACCTACCGGAGAGCTTCAGACGGCCCCAGACGGACCAGTATCCTCAGTTTGTCACCAGGCATTGGCCTAGACACTACGCCCCATGGTGGGCAGTTCATAAAAAGAAGGAAACGTATATTTGACATATTTTCTGCCGTATATTGGGGGGGGGGGGGACACGACCGTCGCCGAGACCGGCGCTCGCGTGCTCTCCACGCAGCGAGGAGAGAGAGATGGCGGCTCTTTATCTTGTAGCTCTCGCTACCGTGATCGGCCGTTGTCTGCAGTGTTGGGATCATGTTAACCCTGTCTGGAGAGGCTGTGACCAGGTGATCGCAGAAGAGCTAGCCGCTAGGCTAACTCATGTCATTTAAAAATGGAAAAGGGCACTCAGTGCCTCAGGGCCGCCCTGTGAAAACCTTGTTTTTGGACATTACAGCCCACATTCGCAGCGGGACTTACGGCTCGTTTTTGTGATGTTAATGTCATGAGGTCTGCTGCTGGTGTTGCTCTTTAATTATGCAATAACACCTGTTTGTCAGCGTTTTCAAAGTTTCTGCACTCATTCAGGTTGATCAACCATCTTCACGTTCACAGTACATAGAACGGCTTGAACGTGTTCAAATATGTAAAAAAAAAACTGCCATATCCACTGGTACAAAAACTCTTTAATTTGTTTTATATACATTAATATTTACCAGAAATAGTGTTAAAGTATTGCCGTCCCCCAGAATTCCCCTTGGTTACTGCATGAGACGCCGCCTGTAGCAACGCCTGCTTAGAGGAATAAAACCTGCTGCCCTGATCGGATATTCATGATAAATCTCACCAAGCGCTGTGCTGGTCAGGCGTGAGAAATGTTCATATCAAGGACAATTTGTTCTTGATACCTCGGCTGACACGGGAGTCGCTGTTACATTTGATGCATCACAAAAAATGCAAAACACAGATTTATTCTTTTAAAGTCTCAAATGATTTAGTCAATTCCGATGACTAACTGCGACTGATACTCTGCCTGCTGATCGTTTTAACCCAACGCAAAGTCTCTCCTGCTATTAAAGTCTCCCCCGATCATCTGCGGCCGCACGCGGCAAGCGGCGCGCGCTGAATCCAGACGCCTCCAGGAACGTCTGTGTGCGCACCAGCTGCAATCTGCCCTCCTCTCGCCCCCCGATACGGCACGAGAACAGCCGGGTGGTGAACACACGGCGCCGCACGTTCATACTTCCACCAGCAGACTGAAAAGAAATAATCTCTCCTTCTTTTGACACTCTTAATACCCCGTCTTGTATTAGCGCGGGCGGTCATCATTCCTCGCTCCTTCTGAAGTCGGTTCCGGCGGCGGCGCCGTCTGAGAACAGCAGATAGCAGAGCGGGGATTAGAGGAGCGTTTGTCCTCCTGCGTTCATTCAGTCACGTCGTCCTGTTGTATTTGCAGTTGTTTAATTTGATTAATAATGAGTGTTTCATTGGTCAACAAGATTGCGTTTACTGGAAAATCAGGTGTGAATTAGTCATATTCTAAATCTTAATTCATGAGTTATACTGTAAAAACACTTGTTGAGGTAAAAATAAAATGATATAATTGGTTTAAATTAGCAAATCTCCCTGTCCCGTTCCAAGCAACTCATGGTGAAAAAGAGTATTTACTCGCCTCATAATTTTACAGGCTATGTGAATACAATATCTTATATAAAATGTAATTATTGACCGGAGCATTTAGTATTATTGCATCTACGGTCCGTCCAGTTCTGCAGCAGATCAAGAGAAATATTACAAACGCTCAGCAGGTCCTTGTTTTTCGTCTAGTTTATGGCCGACCGTTGGTAACGAGTGTAACGGGTCACTTATAGACGACATCCATCTCTCTGGGATTCGTGTCAACTGTCGGCACACGCCCGACACACCGCGGCCCTTCGTCATCCATCGGCCGACCACGTCACCCGGGACGCATTTATCCACCCCACCCGTCGCCCGGTGCCCCGGCCTGCAGGGTCCCATCTGTTCCGCTGCCTCCAGCCATCAGCACTGAATAGCAGCCGCGTCGGACATCCGCCCCCCGTGGCTCGACCCCGCGTGGGCGGTCATCGTTTTTCAATCTTGGGAAGTCTTATAACTTAATCCGCCAGAAGCGTCGCCGATGAAATAGGGGGATAAGCGAGTTGGGATGTGAGTGGGTGTGGGACTGAATGTGTGCGTGTGTGTTGGCATGTTTGAGTCTGTCACGGCGCTTTGCGAAGGAATGTTAACACGAACGCCATGACATATTTTCTTAAAAAAAAATTAAAAAAAACACACTGGCAAACGTTTACCGATGCATCACTCAACATTGTCAGTATTGTTATGATACCGTTTGGCAACGACACACAGTGTTAAGATGAGCTGTTATTGCCGCTGATTGTGACATTTTGAGACAACTGGTGTTTGCACACAAGGGCTGTGATTTCCTTCCAGAAGGTTTTGGATGCATCTCTCACACACGTACGGAACCGCTGAGAAACACATTTTCTTTCTATCTGTAAAACAATGAAAAAGTTCTAAATCAGATAATGTTCTTAAACGCATTCATGTTTTCTTCCAGGAGTCCGTTCATTTCGTCCTGTGTCGACTTGTCAGCAGGCTGTGGGAATTGAAACTAACTAAACATTTAGTTGCTTTAGTTCAGGGGTCTCAAACACACAATATTTTCAAATAGACACTGCCGTGTAAAGATTGCTTGAAGAAAATTGAGGCCGGTAAACTCGCTCGACTACTCGCAGCACTGAGGCTCCGCCCCCAAGAGTTTATTTACGGTTTGTCAACATTGAGCATATGCAAATTGTCAGCGCTGCACGTTTGTTACCCGCCGAGTGTGAAGCAGATGGGCTGAGATGTGATAACGACGGCCGGGGAACACGGACTCCATGTCAGGATGAACATTTCCGGACCTGATGCCCCCTTCGGCAGGAACAGAGCCTGCTGTGAATCTCTGTTCCAGTTAATCGATATCGCGATGCCTATTGCTGGTTTAGGTACAAACAGGACTTGGGGATCTGATGGGGAGGATTGTGGTTATAATACTGGAGTAAAGTTTTTTTTTTTTTTTTAAAGAGTTAGTGTTTAGAAGTTGTGTTTTCCAGAAGCAGTACGATGTAACCAGGGCTATCAAGGCAAGGCCATTTTATTTGTTTAGGACATTTCAACAACATGGCAATTCAAAGTGCTTCACATAAAACCATTAAAAACATCCAAACGTAAAGCAAGGAGATTTATAAACCGTTAAACATAAAAGAAAGTAATTTAAGAACGTCTTTAAGAATTACGACTTGCAGAACTGGTCAATTGAAGGCAGCAGCAAACAGAAAAGTCTTTAATCTGGATTTAGAGGAGCTGAGGGACCCAGCAGACCTGCAGCTTTCTGGGACTTTGTTCCAGATATGTGGAGCAGAAAAACTGAAAACTACTACTGGTCGGTGGTTTTAGCGTAGTGCGCAAAATGTGTTTCTAGTGTGTGTGTGTGTGTGTGTGTGTGTGTGTGTATTTTGCAATTTCTTTGCAGTATTTGAGTCCTTAAATCCTCACCTTCAGAGCAGTGGAGGTCTTCATCCGGGACAAGTACGAGAGGAAAAAGTACTACAACAAGGAGGCCCTGGCTGCAGCGCCGGTGAGTACCGAGCTCACCTCGCTCACGTGTTGTTGTTGTTGCCGCTGCGCACAGACCGGTGTGTGTGTGTGTGTGTGTGTGTGTGTGTGTGCGTGCGCATTGGTTGTTGCATCTACTTGACTTACGACGCCATTATCTTAAGAAAGCTTTTACATTTGACTTTTTTAGTCTAACGGCACACCAGTGTTTGAGGTGTTGTTTGTTTTTCTGTGTATACGATTTTCTCTGCTGTCCATGATAAAAGGCAAGATGATAAGAGTGTGTGCATGGTTTGTGCGAAAACACAAACGTGCTACTTCTCACACTTGGCAGTCATTCTTTACACAAGGCATTTAAATGGGTTTCAGCCCGTCGTCTTCTGATGCCCGTCTTTATCAGCGAGCAGAGATGAATGCGCTTGTTTGCCTCAGTGTCAAGACCGAACCTCCTTCAGTGATTCAATGGCGTGTGTGTCTGCGTGTGTCTGTGGGTGGGTGTGTTTGGGTGGGTGGTTCTCCTTGTCTGCCTTCTAGAGAGATTATCTGTGTGAGTTGTGGCTTCCTCAGTGTCTCGGCAAGCGAGTTGCTTCTGTACTGCACACTTCTCACAGATATCACTCCTGGTTTTCTGGTAATCTGATAAATAAGTTTCAAATAAACACATGGTTTTGAATGCTTTTGTGGTATTTGAATACCATCGTTTCTCCTTCATTCTCATTTAAATACAAACTGCAAAATAATCATTTATTTTTTTGATTGATTTTCTGTGAAATTTGAGTTTGTGTGCGGTTGTGATCGATTTCAACGACAGAACTTCTCCGAGCTCGACAGGAGCGAAATGTCTCGCCCGTCTCTGCCGCGTCTTTGGTTCATCTCCCCCGTTTGCTTCCTCTTGTTGTCCCTCGTTTGTTGTCCCTCTTTGCGCCGTCTTGTTTCTTCAGCTCGTCCTTTTCTTTCCTCCGCTGTGTTTTCTGTGGTTGTTCTCTGAAGCGTTGCCAGCAGCTAGACTCTGATCTAGGATCTGTTTGTGCCGCCCGCGCAGGCTTTTATATGCAGATGAATTATTAAAAAACAACTCATTATCACTTTAAGCAGTTTCGTGCAGATGGAGAAGGAGGGGAGTATAGTATGTGTACAGTAGGTGTGTGTGTGTTGGAATGTGAGGAATCTGTTGCCTTAACTTATTTCTTCATCACTTATAGAAGAGAAACTGCTGGTTTCTGCTCACGGATCGTCTGGGAGAAAAGCATTCAACCACCATTCACGCTACCAACTTGTTTAGACTTCCACTGTACTATAAACGTTCCAAATGTAATTGCGAATTTTAACCACATTTAGAGAAATTCGGCCAAAGACCATGCAAAATGAAATGACCAAATGTTTATGATGAATGGAGTGTTAAAATGAAGTGTTAAAGCATTAGAATGACGTTAATTTACCATTTACCACACCGGAGGAAACACAGCAAATATTCCCTCCATACAACCTCCTTTCATGTTATTTAATTTTCTTTACTAAAGCCTAGTTTATACGTTTTCAGAGAGACACAAGGACACGCAGACGCAAGAGCCCCTTGCGTGCTTTTTACCCCTTGCGTGCGTTGACCAATTGTTTTAGACGTTAAAAGCTACGCAAGCCTCCTGCAGCCCGCAAGGCTGCGATTGGCCTGCATCCTTTACAGAGTCACACATTTCCGGTTTCATAGCACAATACCGGGATATTATTAAAACGAAGAATTCTTATGAAAGAATGAATCCGATTGAAGAGCTTTTGTCAGAAGAAATGCGTAAATACTTATACAACGCGTCATTGGCGGACTCTAAACACGCTACTCCACCTGTTGTTCTGGGGGTGAATTGCTCTGCAACACACGTGAATTGAATCGAGTGCGTCGACGCGAGTGCGCGTAAAGACGCAGACGCATGCGCCTGCCTTAACCTATCGACCTGTTTGAGAATAACTTTCATAACTCCCTGATAGAAAGTTCTCACAATAACCAGATGAAATCTGGCTGAAAAAAGGGCTTTGTCTTGGTGTCCATACTCTGACTTCTTAAACAATTCAGCAGAAAAAAACATCTGTATCCTCCAAACAAAACGTGCAATCCATCATAAAAACCCAGGCAGACATGCACTCAAGTCCTGCTGCCTATTGGCCGGTTGGATTATTGTGCGTGCGAGGGGCCAGTGGTTTTTTTTATGAAGGACAGCTTGCAGTACTTTCTACACGAGTACACCCACTCCATGTCCGCGGCGCCGTGCAGCACCAGCTCACTGCTCCGGCTCGTCCGGCGTACGCGTGCGCCGCATTTCTTCAATGTTGGCCGAATCAACAAGACATCACAGTGCATCCCGCGACCCCTCTGTGACTGGCCTAAAAATGTCAGGCGAGCGCAGCGGTCACCCCGGGGGACCACTCTGCCCAACGCAACGGCCTTATTTGGCCGGCGTTAGTCATGCGGACGTCCTGTCCGCTGCGTCCACAGCGCCGGCCAAGGTCCCGTCTTCCTCCCGTGATGCCGCCATCCGCTCACGCAGAGGTCAGCCTCGTGTGCAGATTTATTCATTCGTATTCAGATTGGTTTCAGTTGCTTTACCTCGTCCTCTTGTCTTTTTAAATGAGCTTGAATGGATAGAAAATGAACGTGTGTCCCGGATCTGTTGTCTGGAGACTAACAAAGCCTTATCTCGTCTTCTTTTATTCACTTTGTGTGTTTGAGCTAATCCTTCCATCGAGATGATTACAACTAAGAAATATTTCCCCCCCCAAAACGCAGCTTTCTATTACGGCCTCCCAGATTCTTGTTTCACTCGTCCCCGTGTAACCCCGCTGCTTGACTTCAGCGAGAGTGCAAATGAAGCCGTGAAAGGACACGTTTCGGTGAAGACGTTCACCATCTTTCTGCCTCACGATCAGCAGATAGCCGGACGCTTGTGTCCTCATAACCTCTGTTCACCCCCCCTCACCCAGCTCGCGCTACTCCCCTTGTTATCTATCCACTCTTTATCGCCCTCCTTCCCTCCAGCCGCTCTTGTTTTTATCTCCGTCACCAGCCAATCTGGGGCTGCTTAGTGCTGTGTCGACATCTTCCTCAGAATCAGATGATGGGGCAGAGTGGAGGTGAAGGGGGGGGGGCAAGAGGAAAAAAAACCCTGAAAGACATAGAACAGACTAAGAAGGGAGATACAAATCGAATCCACATCTCCTCTGTGCTGCGTTCAGCGCCGCGGGCAACGAGAGCAGACAGTCGTTTGATGCCTTAACAGCTGAGGAGGGAGATGGATGAGAGTGGGGAAAGATGAAAAATGGAGGAAGAAAAAACTCGTTCTGCCCTCCAGAAAGACTGCGTCCGTGTTTCTGCCAACGTGTCACGGGGGGTGAGAGGGAGCGGAGGAGGCAGTGGAGGCTGGGTTCGATGTTAATGATGTAACCGCTTTCCTTTTAACTCAGGAGAGCTTCTTGCAAAAAAAAGACAAGCAGCAGAACTCTGAAGCCTGTACACATTTATAATGTGAGTTGAATGTATCGAGTGATACTGCTGCCTCGTCTTCATCACTATTCCTTTATATTCACCAAGAGGTCAGTAAAGCCAAGGGCTAATGTTGTGCTTTGTCTCGATGTGTCAACAGACAAATGTTTGCCAACTTCTGCTGCTTCATGTCAAAAAGAAACGACAATAAAGAAAAGTTGAAAGCAACATTATATTGGTATTGTTATGATAGCATCGTGTCAAATGTGGAATAGATGCGCAGTAAATAACTAATAATAACTAATTATGTAGAATGATTAAAAAAAAAACACTATAAACTTTCCTGACACAAAAGATTTGATTGACACAGTTGGAGACGAGCTGGTGAACACGGTGGAAATTGTGCTAACATGAATGAAACGCGACTGTTTCTTAACAAATCCGCCGTATCAACTTGACAACCGAAGCCACAGCATGCGACAACATGCCCTCAAGCGTGTTTAAGCGTGTTTCTCCACAACGTTGAATATCGTGAAAAGGCTTTGAGTTCTGATTCTTAGCTAATCTGTGTTTGATCACACACTTTTTACATTTTTTTTCCGCATTACTGTTGCGTTTGATCACGGCTTCCTATACATTGTTGCGCTGAGAGATAAAAAAAAAAAAAAAAAGCTGTTTTGTTGTCTCAAACCTTTATCAGGTGAAGCGTTCTCCCAGTCTGTCTCACAGGTCAACAGCAGGTTAATGGAGGTTCTCCCTGCACTCTGTAACTGTGTGTGTGTGTGTGTGTGTGTGTGTGTGTCAGTCACACTCTTTTCACACCATTCCTTCCTGTGCACCTGCGAGGCCCAAAATAAGACTGGCTTTGCGCGTCTACTGAAGCGAAGAGCACTCTGCTGCAGATGAGAAAATCCTCCTCCATTGCCTACTAATTAACTGCTCTCTCACTGCGTCTCTCTGCTACTCCGTCTGCCTTCAACTGACCCGCCGTCTAAAAATGATCCTTTTATTTTGAAAGCCATCTAAAACGACTCTACGATCATGATGTATCAGAAACATTCATTTACATCTGTTTTTGTCCTCAGGAAATTAAAGGCCACTTTCCAAAACGATCCCATGAAGCCATGTTTTTTTTTTGCCTTTCCATAAGTGATGTTCGCATTGCAGATAACATTTGATACATTCGTCATTAAATCCCCTTATTAAATCGGAATCCTGGTAAGCTGACTCTTCTCTGATGAAAGCAGCTTGCAGCTCCTACGGTTGACGATGCAAGCGACAATTTGTTTTTAAATGTCTTGCCCAATGATTCATCGAAATAGACTCGCGGAATATTAATGGTGACTCTGATCTTTTGTCACTTGATCGCAAATTGGATCACGAATGGTCTCTGGCGGGACACCCATTTTTTTGGGCGGGACCCAAGTCCTTTGTTTTTACCTTTCTCCTCGTCACTGTCGTACTGAGGTCGGCCAGTAGTGTTCATTTTAACTACCAGAGGTGCCAGAGCTGAAAATGAGAACCCCCCCCCCCCTCCCCTGCGCATTACTCACCGCTAGAAAGACAGAGGAGCGATAAAAGCTTTGGGATTAATTAGTGCCAAAGCTGAACGAATCCTGTTGATTTTGTGGAACCGTGAGCCGGATCCTGAAGTGAAACGTCAATCGGAGGCTAATCAACACAGTGCCGCCATGAGAAGACGGCGCTCCCCAGAGTTTACTTTGTTATTGTTTAATCTTGCTGCACTTTAAATGCCGTTTAAATGTTCCTGAGTTGTCTTTCAGCGTCTACATTGCCTCTGCTGCTATGCTTCTTGTTGATACATCTGTCCATGGCATACATATTCAAACACATTGAACTCCTTTGCCAAGACTAACCAGCAGCGTGTTGGGGGGTCGGGTAAATTCTCCTCACTTTCAGATTCTTCTGTTTCAGCTCACATGGGCCTGGATTTTGTTGTTGTTGTCCGAATGCGAGATGATGACAGAAGCACCGATAACTATAAAGTGAGAAGTAATTGATCTTGGAAACAGCCATGGTATTACAAGAGCAGACTCTACCGTGTTGTTTTCCATTGGCAACCATCATGAGAAATTGGCATCCGATGCCTTACCAATGGAAACTACTTTTTAACCGTTAAATTGCCATGCTAACCGTGTTTTCAGCTTCAGCGACTGAAACCCAAAACGTTGTTCCAAATCCAGCGTAAAATCAACAGAAAAAGACAGTTTCATCTTCTTGCGGCCTCCATCCAAGCTGCCATGTTGCTGCTGTTATTGGTTATGGTATATAATAAGCTCTGTGCTGAAGATGGACAACCATGGATGTGGATCCACATTTGTCTGTTTATGGGCATTGTCGCTTCTGTTTTGTCTGCAGGAAAAAAGCCTTGAAATCTCTCTCTCTCTTTTGTGTTTTTTTTAATATTTTGGTCCTTAAGCCTGAACTAGAAAATAAAACCTGATATATTGCAAAGGATAGTGAGTAGAATACGGATGGATTCTCTCAATGTTCATGCAGAGTTGCATCATTGTAAAAATAGATGATGATGTCGTTTATCATGTTTTTAAGACGAACAACCCAAATCATAAATAACTGCACATAAAACAGCCAGTGAAGGAATTGCATTGAGAGTGGGGACAGAGGGAGAGAATCACACTGTTATTGTTATTTTAATGGATGGATTGTAGGCTGCTAAGCTAAAGCTTCTCTCCTTTGCAGCTCGACAGTCATTAGCCGAAGCCGGTTGGTGGCTGGCGTTGGCGAGGGCTCATTTGCATACAACAAAGCAAGACGCAGCCATTAACCTGCAAACACTACATCAACTCCCTGCACGCTAACTGTGTCTGCACACTCTGCATTGCGGGCGCATTAAAATCACATTACTGAGCGATATCTAATTGTTTTGAACCTGCTATTAGCTACAACCGAGCATTACCATTAGGCCCCATGTTCCCTCCTGCAGAATATCGTCATGGTTCTTTTTCAATGCTTAAACAGAACTATATGATGTTCCTGGTATTGCAGGGTGGAGTTATGTTTTATTTTAAGTCAAAATAAATACTTTATGGAATTATTATAATTACATTGGGACTCAGTCAGTTTGGTGCTGGCACAGAGACGGACTGGTTAGCAGACTAGCTAGCCAACAAGCTAGCTAGCTAGCCAGCCGCCTGCTAGTGAGCTAACTCTTGCGGTTAATACTTACTACTGGTACGGTTAATACTACTCTATTTGTTTTAGCAGGTACTGCGATACCTCGCCTGCAGTAAGTCTGTGCAGTTTATGTGGACGTTAGCTCGCTACGACGGCCCCATAAAAAACTACACGTGAAAATGTGCCACGTTCTTTTGAACAGCCTCCTCAGGCCCGAACTTTAATGCAGTGGTTCTCAAACCTTTTGTCCCACCGCTCCAACAAAAATGTAACAAAATGGTCCATGCTGCATTTTAACTGAAATAACGACATTTTGTGACTCCAGGTGTGCTTTTATTAATAATAGAATAAGTCAACACAAAGCATTACTGTAAGTTTAATCAAGTTTTAACTTGAACAGTTAAGTTCATATTTAAAACGTGAAGCTCTTTGGGTTAAAGAGAAGAAGTGGACATAACTAAACAGGGCTGTGATGTTTTACAGTGCGGTTCGATCTGTGTTCTCGCCATAGTTTGCATGTCTGTGTCCTTAACTACTAAGGATGGGTGAAATGCAGAGAATAATTTTCCCATGTGGGATTAATATAAAAATATTAATAATTTCCCCCTGTCCGTCGCGCCCCACCTGTAATACCTCTACGCCCCACCAGAGGGTCGCGCCCCATGGTTTGAGAACCACTGCTTTAATGCGTGTATTTGTGGTGTACGCTATAAGTCACGCAGCCTGTAGCAAATATGCCACCTCTCACACCAGCTTCCCCTTGTTCTTCTTCTCCACAGAAGGAAAAGAAAAAAGAGGAGAAGAAGAAAGAGAAGGACGGCGACAAAGGGGAGAGACTCAACAACGCAAAGGTACAAGAGACATTCAGAACGGCTTCCTTATGACCGTAATAACAGTAATTTGTTATAGTTGGTGCTAGAATTCTGGGGGCAGAAATGCAGCAGCCAAGTACTACTTGTTGTAGCATGTGATCAACCCTCAAGCCGCTGTTAACAGCCTTCCCCGGCGTTGCACAGCGGAGGAAGCGGCTCATTATTTGACCATTTTGAAACCTAATTTTGGACGCTTGGCAATTTCAAATTTAAATTTCCCCGCGTGGCTCATAACACGTTTCCCTTTGAAATTGAAAAGAGGTCAGCAAAGGAACGTGCACATTACCGTCCGTTATCGCCGTAGTCACTGAGGTTCTTGACTCGTGAGCGGAGCAGCATTGTGTCCTCCAGGGCCCTTGAATTTAGTTTTTCCGCAGTAACGAGGCGGGAAAAGGCCGAGGCGGCTCACTGACGTCTATTGCGCTTCGTGCATGTCGCTGTTTCAGGATTGGTGGAGGCCAGGAAACGGGGACAAAGAGAAGTGTGTCAGTGTGCTATGAATGCGTGATGTGCGACAGCGGTGTCGCTCCACCTCCGCTCGGGGGCCAAACGCCTCATAAACATTCATGTCACTGACGGATGCTTTGGCGGGGTTCCATGCATCAGTGTGGATCATTTGTTTCAAAAATTATATTGTCCACAAAAAAAAAAAAAAAAATTTGAACCTCTGGTGCATCAGACGAGCTTTATTTTCAATTTTCTATAATTTCTGAACACTCTTGTTTAAACAAAAATATCATAACTGAAGCCCAGCTTCCTGCTGGCAGATTTATCTAAATTTAGCTCCTGTAAAAAAAGTAGACAGGCTGTTAACCCTCACTGCGAGAATGCCGCCATTACATCATCACAGGCAACTTGGATAACATTGTGATTCAAAATGAAAAGCATTTGGAAATGAACCAGGTTTGACCAGAATGTTAATCCAGCCCAGTCCAAGAGAGTCGGCCACAATTATGCACACATCCTCCGTCCCCAAACATCAGCGAGTGTGTGTGTGTGTGTGTGTGTGTGTGTGTGTGTGTGTGTGTGTGTGTGTGTGTGTGTGTGTGTGTGTGTGTGTGTGTGTGTGTATGAGAGATGAGGCCCCTTTTTGTGTGGAGGACAGTGTGAGTTGCTGTGTCCATCGCCCATTGCTTCAGAGTGTGGGTGTGTATGCACACCCGGGCTGTAGTATGCGCTCATGCATATCTCTTGTGTGTGTGTGTATGTGTGTGAGAAACCGAGAGTGGGAGGGGGAGCACTAAAGGAGTGTATGTGTGTGTTTCTGGGTCATGGTTAGTAAATTCAGAATATTTCCAAGGCTCGCAAATTGGTGAGGGAATAATGTAGCTCTCAGCTGTGTGTGTGTGTGTGTGTGTGTGTGTGTGTGTGTGTGTGTGTGTGTGTGTGTGTGTGTGTGTGTGTGTGTGTGTGTGTGTGTGTGTGTGTGTGTGTGTGTGTGTGTGTGTGTTTGATGGACTGCAGGGAAATGGATTCAGGGCTACGGTCATGGGTACCCACTGAGAGTGAGATGTAGCACAGTGGCCGGTTCATTTCTCCCTCTACCGTCACGTGCCCATAAACTGGGCTCCTTATCCTATTTATTGCCCTTGGAAGATCAGGGCTTCTATCCTCGTGCAGAAGTCCTTTCCCGCTTGTGCTCGTGTCTCCTTTGCGTGTGCGTTTCGAGGCGGATCGCACATAAAGAAATTGTATACACGTTGACCCCTGCAGTCACAAAATGCACAATTAAACATTGTTGTAAAATCCTAAATCATCATATTGTTGTTGCGCTACAGACGCATGTGCGTGCATGCCTTTGATTCGAGTGTGTGTGTTTTTGCGGAGGTCATTTGTCTCCGGTTTCTGGTGTCTAAATGAATCCCGAGCTGCTGTGAAGAACGCCGACGTGCTGCAACCAAATGGCTCCCGTGTCAAAAGAATGTCAATGTCGAAAAGAAACATTACCTTCAACCTGATTGGAATCAAAAGCAGTCTGCTTATTTGATATAGTTGAAAACACATTTACACTCCACAGCTTTTGTGTCTTGTGAGACCGTCTTCCTGAATAAACCTGTTTAGAACCGTGTGCTGCTGCTCGTAAAGCTTAAGATTGCCTGACTCAGTCTTCAATAACAACGAATCAGTTGGAGCGTGATGGATCCATATAACCATCAACAACCACTCTGAGAATAGTCTGCGTTTCCCCACCATTATATAAAGTCTTCTTTTGCTTTTTCCAATTAGCACAAGATCACAATTCACTAATTTAAGGTTACCTTCCCTATAGAACAGGTCTGTATGTTTTTATTTTATTAAACAGCGCAAATAGCCTTATGTTATTTACACGAGGGTCAGTCAGTCATTGTCTCGTTTACAATGGATTGCTTCCTGTATCCGCTCCGCCCCGATGGGAGCACACACACACACACACACACACACACACACACACACACACACACACACACACACACACACACACGTTAACTTATTTCATTCTTTTCATTTGTCAGCTTATATTGCACCACCTACCAAGACAAATTCCTGTATGTGTAACATATGTGGCAGTAAACAGCTTCTGATTCTGATGGCTATGTCCGAATCCGGCAGCTGCATCCTCCAGAGCAGCGTTTCCCAACCAAGTACCGGTCGGCAGACCACTTGGTACCGAGCCAAAGAGAAGAAAAAGAAAACTTTTTATCTAAAATATATATATATATATATGCACATTTTGAGGATTGACCAGATTCTCTCCTAATTTCATGCACTCGTCCCCTTTGATCCCAAGCGTTCTCCTTGCCGTGCGCATCAACCTGCTTAAAATGCAGATAGAGATGCTCTTATTATTTAATATAGAACCAAATAAAATGTATAGTTACTTTATGATCACACCACAAAACCCAAATAGCAAAGCAACCCAGTTCTGTTTCTTTGTGTATTTATTCTCGATCTTTGTGACGTTACTGCAATTATTTGAGCTCACTTTGAGCCATTTCTGTTCATAATGTGAAATATAAACTGAAACCTATGAAACAATCACAACAAAGTGTGGCAGTTAAGGCCCTGAATCACAGAGTCAAATATCACAGCAGCCCCTCCATGATAGAAGTCCAATGCAGCACGCTTTGCCTCGTGGCGGCTCCACAGGAGAAAGGAATCCCCAAAGTCATCAGCATTCGTCCCTCGGGGGGCCGTGAATGTCTTGATGCGTTGTGGCAATCCGTCCAACACGCATCCTATTTCAGGCTGAACCGGTCAGGACCGTGGATCTGTTTTAATATATTCTGTTTCAAAAATGAAAACAAAAAACGTCGTTAATTATTTGTATTGGTTTAGTAGTTGACAGTGACGTAGGTGTTCGTGGGCGCAGCACCACCGGAGTCCCCGTTGAACAGGTGCTTCAAACTGACGGATGTATCATCTGCGCATTATCCACCCCGTCCACACAGAGTACGTCTCCGTCAGCGAATACGCGTGCCGCCTTTCAAAACGTCACTCATCCATGTCTGTGATGGTGTGTGTGTGCGGGAAATGACACATTTGTGTGCATGACGTCGGCGATGTGTGGCAATCCTCCCCTGATTCTGCCCCATCATAGGCTGCCCCCCCGGCTCTCAGGGGACCCGTGTCGAGAGATGTTTGAGGATATTTCTGCTGTTTCTCTGTGGGTGCGAGTGAGAGAAAGCGGTTATTCCAAGTGTATGCTGACGTGATAAGAGCGGTTTAATCTCCAGCATAGCAGGAGACGTGCTGACGGCATGTTTCTCCCTCTCCCCTCTCCTTTGCCTTGTCTGTCACATACTTTGTACTCGTCCTCGAAGACGCCGTGTGTCTGCAGCACCGTGACATAACCCCTGTAGCAACCCTTTCATGTTTGCACGCAGATGATACAACATAAATATCTGCAGAGGAGAAACCGCAGCAGCCCGAGCTTTAATCAGGCTCCATGTTTCATTTGTGTTTACGTCACTTCATTTCCTTTCTTGCTCTGAGAGGTTTGCTCGAGCGGCTCTTATTAAAATTTCTCGTGGGCTACTGTGAATGCAGCAGTTACTATTTATATATTAGTTTGTGCCGGATTTCCGTATTTCATGGATAAATCGCATGCAAAACGCCCTCTCAGACCCTTGATTTGTAGTTGTGAAGGAAGTTTGCTCCCTTTTCTTGTTTCGGATGGTCTGCTTGGCTGTAAGCTAACAGCTAAGCGTCAAAACAATGGCCACAAAAAGAGCATCAATATTCTATGTAGCACCTGGAAATCTGGTCATCAACACACTTCTTAAACTACAACGAGGGTCGACTACCAAAGTTCCCCACCCTTCTTTTGTTTGTTTAGTCGCTTACGCAGTATAGATGCCGTATAACAAAGGATTAATTTATTCCATTGCATCTATAATTAATGTGCAGCTCCTTTAAAGTGTATGGAAATGCACAGATATTATTCATGGGAAACACGTGGAAATGATTTATAAATACATTCTGTTGATGAGGGACTCTGTTGGCTCGAACTCAAAAGGCCTAATGCAGGAAATGATTGAAGCCTCCTTCTTTCCTCCTAGTTTCTGCAGCACTGATGAAGGGCTTTATTTGGACTGATTGCCCATCCGCCTCTGTTTTGATTACAACTTTGTTTTGGTGCGACTCCTGTTTGGATAATTGAGTTGTAAAATGTGGACATTTACCATTATGTGTTATTTGAGAACGAGGAAACAAGTTTGAGGGATTCTGTTATTGGAATAGTGATGTCACTCCAATCTCAGAAACCATGCTGGGCTTCAACATCTGCCCTGAATCTGAGTCATGGTCATGACCTCAATCATGGTTATTGACTTATCATAGGATCTAAGGATATGACCTCAATCATTTCTAATGTTATCGATTTAACAATAAACGGACATGATTTGTTCCCCTGTTGATGCAGACATGGTGCATAACAGAGCCGTAGTCCGATGGAATGGATGTTTGCATATTCTTTTTAATACAGTTCTAATATCTCAATA